TGCAGATGTTCTTCCCAAACTAAGTTGTGTGATTCTGAAGGCAAATGTCGATGTCTTGCCCTCGGCGCCACTGGTGATAGGTGCGATAGGTAGGTGTTCGCAATCATCCGCTGTGTGTTATTGTTGTTTTAAATCTGCTAATAAGGGGTCAGGGTGGTATCTTTTTTCTTTTTTTAACTCCACAATGACTGCTTGACTCGTTAGATGACTCTTTTCCTAAGTCAGGTTTCGCCGTAAAAAATATTGACTTAAATACTCCCTTTTTTTCGCCAATCGAGCTTGTTTTTTTAATATTCTTCTTGAGTCCATTTCTTCACTTAGAACTCTTTCACTCTTTCAGCGTCACTGGTTCGAGCAGTATGTAGTACGTGTGTCACTTACTAATGATGTTTGTGACTCACACTTGTCTGTTTTACCTTTAGTTCAGTATTACAGCTTCTAAGTGATATATTTAGGTGATTGGGTCTATCCCTTTAGAAAATATTTCCGAGTCTTTCACCTAATAAATCTTAAAAAGTCCATCAGAATCGCGAGTTTCGTCTAGAAATTTACTTATCTGGCGGGACAGTAGTGATCAACACCGCAATTCTTTGTCACAGTGGATCGAACTGGCCAGCTAGTGCTGACTCATAGTAGGCACCCTTAATAACCTAAATACATTTTATGATGCAGTCTACGTACAATGATTATGAATGGAAAGTAAATAGGGACTGTTTTGGCTTTACTTCACGACATGGTGTGTGATCTGTCTAGTTTACTGGCGTTATCCTTTTAGCTAATCAAATCCAAACTAAAATCAAAATTGACTTTGCTTTTCGTATCCTTTTTCGCTTGAGGTAGGGTACATGTATTACCTTTGATTTTTGTCGCATTAACTTTTGTCCAAGTGAGTGAATAGTACACCATACTATCATACAGGTTCATGACTTTCTTCATCATCTCCGCAGGTGTGTGCCTGGTTATAATCGTGGAGGTGACTTCTGTTACTGTACGTTGAACTGATTTTTTTTGGCTGTTTTGTATCCAGGAAAGTTGTCCGTTGATCACAGAGAGTGTTCCCTTTGTTAAGCGTTTGTAATAAAGTATATCAACCCTTCTACAGTTGGGGGGGGGGGGGGGGGGGGGGGGGTAAGGGAAGAGGGAGGGGTGGGAATTAAAACCATTCAATGTATAGGTGCAGAGGAAATTCACATCAGAATCAACTTTAGTGCCACTGATTCATGTTGTAACTCATATAGTTTTATTTCGTTGAAGAAAACTAATTTTAGGAAGCGATAAAGGACAAATGTACGTGTTGGGGCCTACAATATGTTAGGGGTATTCTAAATATGAACAATCTCAGATTATTAAGATTGTGTTGGCTTGAAATTTTAGTATTTACTTTTCTAATCTATCCTCTGATGGCTGCGAGGAATATCGTAACTAAAATTAAGTAAAGTTAAATCGCCATCTTCAGTAAGAGTGTAATGCACAATTGTGAGGCAATCAGGCCAACCTTTCTGGTGGGTTTTACCTGCCCTTTTGCAGACTGCTTGTTCGCTTTGGTTTATTCTGTTATTTCAATTATTGGATAATTTCTAATATCATTGGGGGTGATGTGACGAGTTATGTTCTCATTTTGTTATGGCGAGACGAATTTGTCGCTAAGATATAATACCGTCAAGAAGTAAAGGGAAAATACTCTGCAAATGTGTAACAGAGTTAAAACAAAGCCGTGAATGGGAGTGACGTGGTATTTAAAATCATGATATACCCGTATTTTTTTTCTTTATCGTTACGAGATATTAAGGGTTAGATCATGAGAAAGAAGGGTTGCAATGTTATCAGTGGTGTGAGTATCCTAGAAAGTAGCAGTGATGCAGTGGTTGGAGATAACAGGTCCGCCAACTTTCAGTTTTTATAACTTCGCAATAAACAAATGCCGAAAAAAAATCATTTTTTTCTTTATTTCTAGATACTTTTCTTGGATCTAAGAAAGATTTTAATGTAACAGGATTCAAGACTTTCAATTTTGAGTATACACTCAAAGAGGTAATATATAGTTTATATAGTGGCTCTACGATCCCTTAACCACTCTTTTGGGATCAACGGTATCGTAGTGGTGGTATGGAAACCTCGCTTTGAATCGTATTCTTCGCTAGAGTGTTGACTCAAAGACGCATGCGTGGCCCTACTAAGTCAAATGCGTTTTATTGAGAATACGTCAGCTTTTCTGTTTTCAGTGCAGCTCTTCTTTCCTGATTGGTAGGAGATAGGTTAATCTAAGGTGTAAGTAAGCAATTCTCATCACCTGTACGACATGTAACCAGTGGCCTGCCCAACGGTGATTCCACTGATCTGAACGAAAAGGGTACCACGCCCTTTCTCGTTCCAATCTTTCGTTTATCCAAACACTCGACCCCCCAATCGAAGAAAAAAATCAATAAGCAAGTACAGCTATGAAAGTATATTGATCCCTAGTTGGTACTAGCTTTTTTTAGACAGGCGTTTGTGATTTTATAGCTGTTAAAGGACCCAGTCAAAGTTAAATTTTTAGATATCGACCGTGCGTTAAATTTATTTTTCAGGAAAAACGTAGTGTTTCTGTAAAGATTAAGTGGAAAGGTGGCAACAAAGGATCTAAGGCGAGGGTGAACATAACCATGGGCGATAGTAAGTACGAACCCGCTTTGTGTAGAGGCTTACACAGCTGTTGTCAGTTAGCTTTGGCTGTTTTTTGTTTTGTTTTGTTTTGTTTTTTTCATAAATGGCTTTTTAAGTCGGAAATGGCTAAAAGCGGTGTCCTAGTTGTTTTTATGACCCTCAAGTTCAGGCCTGATTCTTGGGCTCTCGTAGGGCTTCTGTCCAAACAGGAGTGAATAGAGGAATGAATGTTAACTTTATTTTTACACGGGTATGAATTGATGGGTACGGAGCATGAATCTGTACCAGCAAACGGTCACGGGAAACCTAAGGAGGACTGCGAGTGTCACGGGAAACATAAAGAGGACTGCGAGGGGGAAGGGAGGGGTAGGGTGGGGTGGGGTAGGAGTTGGACAAGCATCCTAACCGGGGGGAGTAAAAATAGTTCTTTTTGCTTCACGGAGAGCAGGTTAAGCTCTGGCAGCTATGCAATTAATTTTCGCTTCCGAACTGTATTTTATGTTACATTTGCCTTTTTTATTTAGATAATGAAGAGGAAATTAAATACGGTCATGAGAAGGTTCCATTCACGACTGAGTTTCGCTATAATGAGTATGAGTTCGGTTCTGATGGGATTACTATCAGAGGTTACATATATGACATCGAGTCTGGTGATGAAGGAGCCTTTCTTCGTGTAAGTTTAAACACAACAATTATATCCACTGTCCACTGTCCGCTATCCCTCTGGCGTCAACTCTCGACCATTTGGGATAACGCTGAATTACTGAACTAGTCTATTTGGGAGAGTATCAGGTAAACTTAGTTTTCCGGTGTAGGACGGTATGAAAGAAACCCTGGAGTGACAGAGTCACTTAGAATACTCACCTTGTTGCAGTGTTTTATAAAAATCAGTTTTAAGTGCTGCTATCGATACGTTCCTATTTTTTCTTTTCTATGGCCATTTTCGAAAACCCAGAAAACTCTTATTGATTGCGAGACTACGTAAAGGTTATTTGCTGGTAACCACTATTTTCACTGTTACAGATTACTATCGAAAATCTGGCGGAAACCATTGATCTCCTGGAGTTCTTTCTGACGTTTTTCGGGTAAGCTTCACCGTGTTTGTGTTTGCTTACTTACCAGGAAATAGTTGTTCTAATCTCGGACTATCACAGCTCAACTTCCCTCCTCTATTTCAAGGAGGGCCTTTCACAACCTGCAGGGTGATGGTTCGGCTATCAAGTTATTTTGGTTGGGTGCTTTCTTTCTTCGCTATATTGTGTCACAAGGCCTATACATTTTACCCTTGGATTACAACTCTCTACCTAGGAGTGTTTCGCTGGGGTCCCTTTTGATCGAAAGTCGTTCGTTATTACAACGAGGAATCAAAACAAATCAAAACTGGTCAAATGAATATAATGAAAGCTTAAAGGAAATATTAGTAAACTGTGTCAGATACGGGAGATTTGCGTGACTAAGTCGCCCTTAGATTTAGTTTTGCATCTTATTGTTGTAGGTTGTAGCGTATGAACTTAGAACAATCACAGAGAACAGAAAATTCAAAACCACTGCAATTCCGGCTTTCTTGGACACTAAATTGAAATTTCCTCCAAAGTGCATAATTGAGATTGTGAGCTGGGAAATAATTGCCGAAGACCTACCCGTTGCTATCGCCATTGTCCATTCATATTTTGGCGTAGTCATCACTGGATTATATTTTGAAATACACTCTGTGTTTCCTTTTCTCACCAGTTTGAAATCTTAATCGCATGTTTTCAAAGGGTTGTTCGTTACAGAGTTTATCCCCGTCTTAAACCTCGAACTCCCATGAGTGACCAAAACAGAATTTCTCCTTGCAATATCAATACAATATCAAGAAGACAAGTGATGAGAAGGAAGAAAAATATCCATCAGGGGATTAGTAGTCGATCCATTACCAAATTCGCCAAACTAACATCGTAAGAATTGTATGAAAGACTATAAGGAGAATTTTACAAATAAGAGGTCAAATGAAGACTCCATGTCTAGATGTCCATTGAATTGTTTACTTCAGAATTGTAGTGATAACTCATGGTGATCCTTTTCCGTAGCTGTTTCCTGTCGTTGCTTCTCATGGCCGGAATCGTGTGGAAAGTGAGGAATCGCTACATCTCTTACATCCTGAACAGGGTAAGAACCTTGGGTTTTCAGCAGTTGAATTTCTGTCATTAATACTATTGGCGGCATGTCAGTCACCAATGAACGGTTTTCTTCTCTTGTTTCAGCAACGACGAGAGGAAAGACAAAAGATGGCCAGCCGTCCATTTGCTAAAGTGTCAGTTTTCCTTCATGCTCATAATAAGGTTGGTTCTTCACACTGTAAATGGGCTTCATCAATCTTTGCGCCATTTCACGTAGAGTGTTGAAGATATCTTTCTCAATCCATCTTATCTTACCCACTAAGACCATACTGCCCCTTTTCCTTTTATGATGAAATTTTCAGCGTTTTCTTTTTTGTAAAGGGTAGGTTTCCTTCACTTTTGAAGATGATTATTAAAAGGAACATTAACTCGGAATATATTGACAGAAGTCCATTTTAACTATGACATGAGACAAGCAATTGAACTGCCATGACATTATTAGACTCATTATTAGCTCGGACCTTTCTCTTGTCCTGTGGTACGGCCATGACATTATTAGACTCATTATTAGCTCGGACCTTTCTCTTGTCCTGTGGTACGGCAATGGCAGGTTTTGGGGCAATTTGTACGTAGACAGCTCCTGCCTTTACTGTTTATTTCTTTACATAACTGTGTCGTTCAAGTTGAACAGAACATCTTATGTACGGTACTTACCATTCGTGTGAACCATCCGAATTGAAATTTCTGGCGTGCAAATTAATGATTGAATTTGGGTTTAAGCGAATAAAACTTACCCAAACTCTTTAAAAAGACTGAATTTCTTTTTTCTCGTGTATATGAAATAGTAAGCACATCTTTCTGCCTAGTTGTTGCGTGTAATTCAGTGGTAATGAGATTTTTGTGTCATGTTCAGAAAAACTGTCAGACATTAATAAAGTTAGCCGGAATATAATCATGCTCCAACCATTCCTCTCTTATATGCGATACTTCAGTCCACCCCTGGACCTGTTGCTGTGGAAACCTGTGAAAATGGCAGAGCGTCCGTGCTTACCGTTGTTATGAGGTTACCTGGGACTGAGGATGGCTTAACTCCTATTGGCCAAAGTGCCCTGTGTTTCGCGAGTGTGTTAGGGACCCACACGGAACAGACAACGAGTGCCCCGGCACCGAAGGCTACACGAATTAGGACCACCAAGCGATGTGCCTCAACGTGCGTATAATCCCAGAACAAAGGTTCAAATGTAGATGTGAATTACTTTGCCTGCTACCTTGCAAGGACTTTTTAGGAAACAAATTTCCAATTTAAAGTGTTTCATGGCACGACTTAACTCGAACTTTGAATAAGTGCGTTTGAAAAGATTGTTGAGCAATCGTGAAACTACGTATCGAGAACCTTCAGTTAGGGATTTTCTCCCAATTCTGTCGAGGTAACAACTTATGCTTAATTTACTTGGAATCTTAAACTCGAGCGCGATGTAAACTGCTTTGGGTATATGCTTTATAGAAATGGTTGGACTGGGCTGCTCCTGATTGTACAGAAAAGATCAGGATTCCTTCCCATGAACACTCTACTGACTTCGCTCTGATCGTAACTTCGACCTCGAGTTATTTAGTTTCATAGATTGAAAATTGGAGGAAGAATTTGATCTTGAAGTATTGAGTTTATATTTTTATAGAAATTTGTATTGAGTTTAAAATTAATTGCAACAGCACTTGTAATTTCTCCCTTGCCCACTAGTTTATATTTAATAGTAGTTTATGTCTACTAGACTCTCTCGTCAGACTGTAACCTGGTAGCAACAGTGCAAGCGAACAAGTAAGACTTATTACTTTTTTATTGCAAGTTTTATCCGAAAAAATGGCGAGATATGTTTGGCGAATTCCAAAGACTTTGGGTTGTAGTAAGATACCTCTCATTTTTTTATTGATAAAAAATAGGAGATATTCATTTATTTATAAGTTTGTAAATGTTAATTGAATTGTTTAAAAAAATTGAAAAAAAATTAAGTTAATGTTTTCAACGAAGCAAGACATTGAATCAATTAAGATAGAATTATCAGAATTTTGTACAGAAATATAAAATAAATGGAGCGGAACATTGAATACTGTTTGTTTCTTAACTTTATTGAAAATAACAAACTGGCAAAGTCTGTTATTTATGCGAACGTTTTCTAACGCAGTGGAAATGGGACCTCAAAAACTAAATGCAAAAATGTACTTTAAGCCCCTAAAGGACCCTATCAGAGCTTTACTTGAGTTCTATTTAACGCCAACAGCTCTAAAGTTGGCGCTACCATGATTTTTATGAAGAAGTCTGACGTTACCTTGATTTCTTTCTCGTTAAAATCCACCTAAATAGACTGAAGATGATGGTTTCATGATTTTAAATCCTTTGTTAACTTGCAAATTTTGACTTTTCTTCCATCCATTTTGAAATCACTGGTGATCCTTGCAATCTGATTGGCTCTCAGCAGTGCGATTTCTTAAGGAATCGCACTGTTTTTGTCTGCCAATGAGAAAGCGACACTGAAGCAAAACAACAATTAATCAGAGAAAGATGTTTGTCGTCTCGAGCGTGGAACAAAGAAAAAATTCTGAATCCCCATCAGGAATCGAACTCAGACCTTCGGATTTTGCGCTCCGATGCTCTACCACTGAGCCACAGAGACTTTGGTGAGCAAGATCTAATGATACGCGTCCTCCATGCTGCTAAGATCAGCAATGTCAAGTAGCGTCATGTTTGTAAATAGAATAAGAGAGATGATAAGTTTTTAGCTCGGTAAAGAAATAGAGAAAGATGCTTTTCGTCTTGTCACAAGCGTGGAACAAAGGAAAAGATTCTGAGTCCCCGCGCGGTAGAGCATCGGAGCGCGGAATCCGAAAGTCTGAGGTTCGATTCCTCGTGATGAGTCAGAATTTTTTCTTTGTCCCGAAAAACATCTTTCTCTATTTCTTTACCGAGCTCAAAACGAATCAAATTGCAGGAAAATGAAAGACAAAGTAAACATTGTGTGGGGAATTTAGATTTTTGCCCCAAAACTTTTCTTTTTCTTTTTCCGGTTGTGCTTTTTTAACAAACCTGTCCAGCTCTAGATCAAAAATAAAACATTTTACAAACTAAAATCCAGTTTTTGGGCGGTTCAACCTTACGAGAAACTTTGGCTTGAAATGATACTTGAAATTTCAAATTGAACTCGCTCTGCGTGCCCTCACGATTTTAAAATCGCGCATATGATTTCCAACTAAATGGCGCTTTACTCAGTTCATTTACCATTGTCATGAGCCCTCGAGTTGCACTGACTAAAAAGGGCCTTTTCATGGAATTGCTAAACAGTTCAGGGCGTCCATGATATTATATTCACAGAGATTTGTAATTGAGCTCCCGCCCAAACTCGGAAATAGAAAAGATGTTTGCGTTGGAACACAGGGGTTTTACCATGCAAAAAAAGAAACAAGACGTAGATTATCATATGACACATCCGAACCCACTTGCGGAATCTCCTAGAAAACCACAGTAAAAGCTGACGTGTGTAGACGTGAGCCGTTCCAGAAAAAGCCGTCCGGCCCTAGGGCATTTGTGCGGTTTTGTTAACAAAAAAAAAAAATGAAGAAAGAAAGAAATGTTGTTTGCTGTTGATAAAAAAAATGAGTGATAAACAGAATCGAGATAATAATTTAACTTTTTTCAATAAACTGTGATTTTCTTGTTCTAACTCGAAAAAAAATTAAGGAAAAGTTTTTGCAGGCTGCAGAATCTTTATTATGGTTTCCTTGCGCGTGCCAGTCAGTCGCGTCCTATTTAAGTTGAACAAAGTTTTCGAATTTTTCAAACCTTCGTCAATAGTCACATGATAAAATGGTTATTGAATGAGTGGGAAGGCCGGACCTGATAATGTTTGGCTCTCGTTCATGACTCACAGAGCTCGTTGCGCTTGGTCCATACTTCAGGGTCGCGAGCCAAACATTTTCCCGTCCAGACCTCCCACTCATTCAGTAAGTACATAGTATCCGCGGGGACCGGAACCCTTCCAACTAATGTATCATAGCACATGAGATGAGTCGTGTCATTCTCGGGACAAACCAAGAATATGCGTCATAGCCCATAATATGGAAACATTCAAAATTTTATGATCCTCTGATTCATGAAGACAGTCAATTTGTATCACACTTATTGCCATAACTGTAGGTGGTCTTTCAAACAGAAGTATTGTTTTCTGCGCTCTTTTTGTGATGTATATTGCGAACGTGTGTTGCGCCATAATGGATTATTGACATTGTTATGATGTAGAGTTTTATGGCGGTCTAAGGACTCTCCTGCACCAATCAGATTGAGTTTTTATACGCTGGTTATTTGACAATAAAATATATCTTATGGTAGAGCAAAAAAAATTATCTGCTTTACAGACATTTGTCTGATTTATTCTACATTATCCTAAGGTAGAAGTTACGTAATTAAAATGAAAGATAATGAAAAGAAAGCCACGTGGTGTACGTGGTGTGATACCTGACCGCTAAGGATCTGGAGAGAAAAGTTAGTAAAAAAATTTGCGGGTTTGGAATACCGTTGTTTGCATTTGAAATTATTGTGCGAAAAATGAGCACTGACGCTGCAGAGAAAGTCAAAGAAGGTGTCAAGGCCTACTATGGTAAAAAACTTAAGACTTCGGATGATCTTCAGACGAACGCGTGCAAGCTTGGTGATAAACAGATGACTCCCGCCGTGAAGAGCGCATTGAAGCTTATTCATGATGAAGTAGCTAGCAAGTAAGAAAATCACACTGTTTTAACTTTTTAAGCTAATCAATAACGGGGAGCCGTACTGTAGATAAAACTTTTCTACAATTTCTTTTTCGGCGAAGTCACGAAAGGGACATCCATGCTTCGCTGGTCCGTAACCGTCCGCCATATTGAATAACTGAATTTTGCCAATAGGGACACAACTCATAATGATTCAACATGGCGTGCGACATTAAAACGCTATGGATCTTCTTTGTGGTTCGTATTTGGGATAAAATGTGGTTGAAGGTCATTTTCCAAACTCTGGATGTGATAATCCATCTACTGAGGCTGAAAGTTAATAGTGCTCAAGAGTGTATAACACGGATATCTCTCTGTGTATGAGGCTTTACTTTCATCTGAATTACAGGGTATAAACAGCTATTTATCCTTTGGGTGTATTTGAGAGATATGTTGACCATACACACCTTATTGTTGGTATGTTAGTCTTACTAGATGCAATTGAGCTATAAAGCTTTATAACTTGATTGTATGACTCGTACTTCACCAATGTCTTAAGTGGTACTTGAGATACATGGATTTAGATTTGTTCTCTTCTACCTCGTATTTATATTATTACTGTATATAAACTTGGGTTTGAGCTAGTGTTTATTTGTGAAAGGTGACATATGGTTTATGAATTTGCAGTTTGGTTTGCCAATGTCTTAGATCACAATCAGTTTGTCAATAAAGAACTGATTCATGCTTAGTTTGTGTATATTTAATGAAAAGATTCCAAGTTGCCATGTGTCTATTCAGTAATAGATCACAGATGATGTCAAAGTGTGGTAAGAACAAAAAAAAGTGGCACATGAGGTGCAGCCAAGTGTCACTTATGTTCTTACCACATTTTGACATCCTCTGTGATCTATTACTGAACAGACACACAGCAACTTGGAATCTATTTGTTTTATATAATAAAGAATTGAAAAAATTTTTAATGATGATGTCATCTTTATGTCTGTCCTCCAATCAGTCATAAGCGAGAACCAATCAGAAGGCGTGTATAACTGAGCTTATTATATAATAAGTTATGGATGCACGCAGGAAGTTTGGAGAGCATGAGAGAAGTGGTAGGGTTCCTTGAGGCACAGTCAAGAACAACTCTAGCTTCTTAAGTGCTTTCCAAACTTCCCAAGTGTATCTATAACTCGATATATGTACAGTTAAAAGCACAAACCAATTCTTTTATAACATAGCATACAGACACAAGTTCATTAAAACTGTGTTGGGTGTACCAGAAACTGTGTTCTACCTGAAAACTATAAGGAAAATGATGTGGCAAAAACAATCAAAAAATATTTCAAGATTAAATCTTTTCTGCACAGAAGCAAAAAAGTAATAATTTTAAGTTAAAATTCATTAAGCACAACACTTACAAATTTTTTGCATTTAGGAGACCTGTGTGGTAGATTTACCATAGGTCTATCTTAATTGAGATGGAAAAGAAAAAAATTTTTTGAAAAAAAGTTTTGAAACCTTGTGGCTAAACTTAACAGGAACTTTAAGCTGAAGTGAAACTGCACATGTCATGTTATGAATGCCCAGCTGTGCATATATAAGGATTTTTACCATAGTAGCTCCATAGGAATTAGGTAGGACTCGTGCTCATTACAATATCTTTTGCTGTCACATTATGTGTATGTTCCTTTCTTTAAATTAAAGCCATTGATTAAAAAATATTACAGGGTAACGTTGTATAAGAAAACCACATGAAAATAATACACTTCACCCATATACTTTGCCTACAAGTTGATTACCACAAGGGAACTTAAAGTTTGATACAACTCAGTCCGTTGTAAGCCAACAGTTAATGTTTACAGTACAGAGTATGACACAATTGACACAACATGACCCTCGTCATTTTTTCAAAGGAAACTTGAAGTCATTTGATTGCAAAGTTCCATGCTGGAAACTTTTAAAAAACTTATGAAACTGTTGATAAAAATATTTGATTATGTTTTAACATTGCTTCATGTCATTATCAAGTCAGAAAACAAAGTGGCAAGTGGAAATGCATTAAGGGGTAAAAAGAATGGAAAGAATGGTTTTTTTCCTCATCCCCAAAGGTGGAATAAAAATAAATCATTTGGAATAAAAAGAATGTGTCAAGTAAAATGTTTGGCAGGAATTGAATCACTCTCTGTGTTCATTGAAGGTTTGATGTCTGGAATTTAAAGCACTTCATAGATCAAACAGTCAAACTGCTGGTAAATGTTTTTGAGAACTTTAAGTTAAAACTTGATAATAAGGTAAAAGTTAATATGAAGTGATGTGATTTTGTATTTAAATGGGCTCATTCCCAGCACCTATTAAAATGAAAAAATAGATAACTTTAAAAAATTATCAAAGTGAGTTTGATTGTCTCCATTTTTTTGTCTGGTTTGGAGTGAATTGTTGATAAAATAGCTCAAAAAATTGGCACATTCGAGAAAAAGCTCTTTGAACTCCCATCAAATCTTGGTCCACAATCCTTATGACTGTCTAATGTATCATGGGTTTGTTAAATTTATGATCAAGACAGAAATTCTCTAGACAATATCACTACAATATCAAACAGATAAGTGACGAAAATAAGAAAAAATATCAAATGGCAGATTAGAAGTAGATCCAATACTTAATTCTCCAAAGAAACATCATAAGAGTTGTATGAGTTAAAAGATTGAAAGGTTTGATGCTGGAAATAGCACATTTTCAAGGATATGCTGAAAGATGTTTTTTATCATACTGTGCAATTGTACAGTCTAGAGTATAGGAATTTTTTAAAATTTGTTTGGAACTTTTTTACATGAATATCTTTGTTGGAGTGCTAGTCTTATTGCACAATAAAACAAGATTCTAACTCTAACCAAAAATAATAAAGATTCTTAATCATTGATTTATTTTAGGTTTTATGGATGTGGTTTAGTGGCCCCAGAAGCCCTTGATGGCATGAAAATCTTGGATCTTGGAAGTGGATCAGGTCAAGATTGCTTTGTACTCAGTAAACTGGTTGGTGAACATGGCCATGTTACTGGAGTGGACATGACCAAAGAACAGGTATGCTCTATAGTCTACCAAGGTACCTGATAATGGTCCACACTCACTATTTTTGGGTGCTAGCCAGGAGCACCAAAAGAAACTCAGAAAAATTTGGGTTGCATTTAGATTTATTTTACTTGAGAATTTTACGTGCCTGCATCATCTTCATTATGTGTGATCCAACTAACTTGACTTAGTTTCAACCATGTTAAATTTAGGTTCTTATACATGCACTATACTGTACAACCAAAACCAATGTTTTACAACAGCCTTTGAGAACAAATAAGCCACACTTGCAGATAAGCTGCATTGACAGATAAGCTGTTCATTTAGACCTGTTCTTCAGAGTTTGAACAGAAATCCTTTCTTCATATTTTAAAGATGGAGAGTGAAACATTTTGAAAGAGTTAAAGTACATATTAAATCTTTATTCATTTAATTGTTGCATTTTGTGGGGTTTTATTATCATTATGAAAGATGATTAAAAGGAGAGGAAACAACTTCAAGTTATAAATTTGTGAGAGTCATTATCTCTAGAATTAGAGCTATTGGTAGGCTTACATGTAGTTTGCATGATGGATGTTTGAATGCACTTAAGACAGCTCTGATGGTACACGAAAACACTTACAGCTGTTTTTGAATGGAGCCCAACCTACAGGACTCATGGGTTTATAGTCTGCACACTCACCATGCACCTATTTTGCTGAATTGCTCATTTGTCATAGGTTTCATCCTGGTTGCATCTGTGTTTTGTTTGTTCATAACGTTCTGGATATCAACTTACATGTTGGCTGCACCTGGTGTCAAATCTGTATGAATACATCAGTAGAATTCCATTCATGTTATCCCTTGTATTTAGGTGGATGTTGCCAACAAGTACATCAAATATCATGCTGATCAATTTGGATATTCTAAACCAAACACTGATTTTAAACTTGGTGAGATGGAGCACCTATCTGATGTAGGAATACAGGACAGCTCTCTGGATATTATTATGTAAGAAAAAAATATCTGTGACATGACATTTGAGTATTCAGTATAGAAAAATCATATACAATAATAACAACTTGTTTTTTGGATTTCTTGTCACATACAAATGCTTGGAAGTTAAAACCTAAAAAAAGAGAATTTAAAAGAGTTTCCATAATGAAAATCACATGTAGTATGAAAACATAATCTGGGTGAAGACTTGAAAAAGAACTTTGATGACTCAATAGCTACTATGCTCATCTGACATTCTCATTTTACTTTTCTCATCTGAAGTTCAAACTGTGTTGTAAACTTAACAGCAGACAAGAGTGTTGTTCTCAAAGAAGCTTACAGAGTTCTTAAGGTGAGACAATGCTCTAAACAAGTTAACTTTTCATACCCTATTATCATTATCAGTATTCTCCTTACCATTCTCTATACACTTGCCATGGTGCTGACTAGAAAGAGTTGTCTAACAGTAGAGAGATTCATAATTGGGATCAATATCAGTATCTGGGCAACTGCCCACCTACCCCTCCCCTAACCCAACATTAACCCTAACTTGTTATCAATTGACTGTTGTTGAGTTAGGGGAGGGGTAGGTGGGCAGGTGCCCAGATACTGATATTGATCCCATAATTGTAAGGAGAAATTAGAGGATGGTCAATCTTAAGGGTCAAAGGGTTGGTGTTTTATATATCAAAGATGTTGATGAAGATTGCTGATGCTGAGGTCTTGTGTGATCTGTTTAGGATGGAGGGGAGGTTTACTTCAGTGATGTTTACACTGATACAAAACTATCTGAGGAAGCCAGAAAAGACGAAGTACTTTGGGGTAAGTGGCTTATCTTTGTTTAGTCCTTTCTATTCATACTGTTGCATGAAGTTGAAATCCATTTCTTTCTTGCGGTAGAGAGGAAATTTCTCACCATCTATTCATTGTGGAGACAACCTTAATGTTACTTTTCTGTTTTATCTGCATATTATTATTATTGTTTTAAGTGACGACGTTGAAGAGCGGGAGGTATTAAGTGCATGGAGGTTGGGACCTTCATATTGGGTATAATGGAAAGAGGCCTTTGTATGTCTCAGGATGAGAAATAAATTGAAGCACCTTTCACAAGAATATACTGTCAGTTATTTAGTTAGGGACTCTCCCATGTACCCATTCTGTAAGGGTGCCGTTGAGCAGAAAATAAGCAAGAGGTTGTGACTTTTCTTTTGAAAAAATAGTATGAAATTAATGGAGCTACTGCAAATCCCAAGTACACGATTTTGAATATATAATGCTCTGTTAAAGAATTTTTTAAACATGAAAACGTTGGAACATTTTTCCCTGTGTGACTGTTAATGGTTAGAAGTCTTACGTGACAATTTGCTATGTTAAGCCAGTTACTCCATCTATCTTTTCTGTGCCGTTAGGTGAATGTGTTTCAGGGGCGTTACACTGGAAAGAGCTGGTCGAACTGAACAAAGAAGTAGGATTCTCTGGGCCACATTTGGTAACTGCGAGACCTTTTGTGGTTGAAGAACACCTCAGAAAACCACTAGGTGAGTGCCTTTTTTCAAAATTGATATCTTTACTGATATTGAGCCATCAAAAGAGCAAGGTTTCTCTGCTTAAGCAAACAATTCATTACTGTTGTCTGACCTAACTAGTAAATAAGCCGACTTACACAGAAGAGTAACTTACCTGACAGGTATTACCTGAAACATCATGGGTTTTTTTTTCTTCTTTTTCTTCCAATATAGGTGATGCTCAGTTTGTCTCAGCCACCTATCGTTTGTTCAAAGTTCCTGAAAGCTGTAAGACAGAAGCATCCAGAGTGACATACAAAGGTAAAGAGAGCATAGAGCGGGTTAGAATGTCGTAGACGTGGTTGGACAAAGGGATGGAACAAAGAAGGAAATTTCAACTAGCCTAGTGCTACAAATCAATAGTTCTTTCCATCACAATTCTTATCGTTTCAAGTCTGAGTAATATAAAATGTTTTGGAAGTGTTTAAAATACGTCTGAATTTTAAAATCAAAGAAACAACTGGTTTCGAAATGGTTGCGCACTGACTTTGCTCGTGGGGGATTAATCTGGCTCCAAGAATGTTTAGACTAACAACGAAGTGCTTGAGACGAGAACGAAATACTGCAATACTGCGCAGCCAAAATAAAAGGACCTAAAGGTAGTTTGAAGTTCGATGGTAAGCTGAAGTAGTTGTTTGCGAGTGAGATTGTGGTGGTGGGTTCAAATTCCTGTAGGGCGAAACCTGTGGTTATCGTGCAAAAGTCGTATAAATCAATATTTGTCGTATGGTGATCGCTGCACCCGCGGCGGCTTTAGAGAGAAACAAATGTATGTGGAAGCTGTGAGCTATGAGGTAGTTACTACTTAAAAAAGTGCTCTACCCACATACCGGTAATGAGTTTGTTACGATTTTCTTTTTTTTCAGGCACTATTGAGGAAAGCCCAGAAGAGTTCAAGTTTAATGTTCACAACATATTGACGGTATGTTCACTTCCTTAAACTGAGTTCCCTTTTTCTCTACATTCGAACACAAAAAAAGATTACCCAGGAAATGTAATATGATGTTTCCAGTCACAGACAGGCATAATCAGGAAAGAATCCCGCGTGCTTTCGGCAGCGGTCCATTCTATGGCCTTTTTGATGCGTTCCACGGAAACTCTGTCTCTGAATTCAAGGGGAATCCTTGTTTCTTGGTGGAGTACGACTTTGTATTTACAACAAGGGCACATTTTTACCAAAAATTTTCTTGCTACTTAGTTTTTGAAAAATTAATGGTTTAAATTGCGTTTTTGCAATCTAAAGTTAGTGCCATGAGCTCTAAATAAAATTTCTGAGAGAGTTAAGGCAAGCAAAAAATTTTTCTTTTCTTAGTCGGATTTACCTGAAAAAAAGGACACAACGTTATGTTAAAAAAACTTGGTCTACCAATGACCCATTACGACTCCTACCTTAGTGATGTTGTCGCACCTTGGCAGTTAGAGCTTCCCTCTCCCGAGAAAATGTTTTATAGTAAAAAGGTAAGAACCATAACGGACGAGTCTCTCAAAGCTCAGGAGTATAACATCTCAAGTCCTGATCCAGGGATCCGAGTCTTTGTTTTAAAACACGGAATTGGTTTCCCGAATATCCACTCGTGTCCAACTAAGAAAGTTATCGTTTTCTTTAACCAAGTAAAAAGAGGCCATTATGTGATTTCCATTATTGCGGCTCATTTGATTTGCAGAAAACACCTAAGGATGTTTCCTCTGATGTGGCAAGTGTCCTTAGTGCCTCACGTTTTTCGAAGCATTTCGAATTCCAACCGCTAGAGCCTGGAACCACAGCTCCCATTGATGACGTGTACATCGAAGCGGATCCGTTTGCGTATTGTGCGTCAAACAAAGTGGCGCCAGGAGCATGTTGCCCCAAACCTGCCAAACCTGTTGAGCAGGAAAACGGCTGTTGCCCGAAACGTGCGAAAACCGGTAATGAGACTCGCTGCTGTTAAACGTGGTTTTCAGTATTCGAGGAAAACTGGAGACGGGGTTCTAAATATCTTGGGGACAATAATTAAAATGAAATGCCATTATACTCTTTCTTTATAATAACTGTGACAACCGAAGTCGTAATAAACGTAACCATTAAAGTTATAATTTATTTGGGTTTATTATGTAGCGCTGCAGCAGTGGTGTTTTTTCGCCCGCGAGAAAGTTTCACGGTGATTATTGGCTGGAACCGGAAGCATTGGAAACGTAGATTTGTTGCAGAGATCAAAATGAACGAGTGAACTTCTCACAAGCACATGTCTTGGAAAGCTAACGACCGCAGATCGTCCTCGTGAGTGGGGTCGACACAATTTTATGGCTATTAGTGATCGGATAGTTTTTTGCATTCCACATTTTTCCAACGTTTTAGTTTTTGCAAAGTCTCACAACACAGAGAGAAGGACTCGATATTCATGGTATTATGCAAAACAGGGTGGGTTACGGGACTCATGCAGCGGCCATTTTTTTCTCCTCAATGGGTCATCTTTCACAGGTAAGTTTGTGCGCTCTTTGCGCCTGCGTGTGCGCAGAAGATATTGCGCAATGCTATGTTTTAGAAGGAAAATTACAGCCGTGTGAGCCTTTGAAAAATTCTCGAACCTTGACACTTTTAACTTTGAGCATAACACCTTGAAGAGGTCTTTCTCTCACGTGAAAAAGTTCTGCCAGAAATGAGCTCTGAAGGTGTAGATAAGGTTAAAGAAAGTGTAAAGGTCTACTATGGCAAAACCCTCAAGTCTTCTGATGATCTTCAGTCGAATGCCTGTAAACTAGGTGGAAAACAAATGTCAGACGCCGTGGAGAACGCTTTGAAACTTGTCCATGAGGAGGTATCGAGCAAGTAAGAGAATCACAGAGTTGTGTAACTTTGTAGGTTAGTCTAGTTTGAGTATTAAGAACTCTGATGGTGTTATAGGATAAATACAATTCTCATCTTTACGACGACATTCCTTTTTGGAATGTAGTCGAGCATCAGTTAAAGTTATGATGAAATTCGAATGTCAACTGTAATATTCTGTAGGAAGCTTTTTGTTATGTGTGAATTCCGAATGGTTAGCTATGCATTTCTGAAAAATAGACTGACGTATTTCTTATATATAACGTCATGCTACCAACCACTACTCTCACATCGCTCGATTTATTTGCAGCGACTAGCTTCTTTCTTTAAGTTACCAAAACGCCCTTCGGATTATGACCGCGGCAGTGTTTTGCCAAGAGAGAGATTATCAACCTGGGTTCCGGCTGAACTTAATGAAATACCTGATTAATTTTAGAGCATTTACAGCCTTAGTGGAAAACCACATTAAAGTTCACGTTGACCTTTATTCACGGAGTGTGCGTTAACTTGCTACGGTTGCGTTCATTCGTCGCTGATGTTAATCAGGCAGATAGCTTCCATAGATCCTGGGATTAGATAGTAGAGCATGTAGAGTTTTCCAGGTAGCCATCTACAGCCAGAGCTTTCTTGATACCTATCTACAAACCACAGTTTCTCCATTCGCTCTTTCGAAGGGCTAACCTTGACAGTATTTACTTTACAGTGGACAATTTACATTATCAACTCAGTTGATAGAACCGGATTATCTTGTTATATTCCCCCACTAACGCAACACCACAGTTTCTTTAGAAACTTGCTCCCTATATTTATTTGTTTATCTACGATGAAGCCTGAAATTGTACAACGAATGCTTGTATGTTGGAAAGTGGTAGCGATACAGTTTACTCTTATTTGCGTCGCCGCTGAGTTGCCTAAGCGAATCTCTTAATTGCAATATGATAATCAGTACCGGCTTTGACTGACGCAAAATTTTGGGGAAATGTGAGGTACCTTGCGAGAGTATTGAGTCAGTAGGGTTAGATAAGGCGAGAAGGAGATTGAAAAATAAATCATATTGGATATCAAAGTGAATACGGATCCCGCCAGGACACTTTCCACTGAGTTTCACTCGACCCCATTGTCTTTGCGAATTATCATACTTAAAAGCTTGTGATGATAAACGACCAAGCTCAAAAGGTCAAATCACCAACAAGTTTGAAGATAACAGATTTTTAAGAAGGAGTTTCTTGCGTCGATAGGCGAAAAGATAAAGTAGTTGATTGTATGACGAAAAATTTACAGCGAAGTGACGTTTCAAGATTTGAGTGTTAAGACTACTTGGGTTGTGTTTCGCTAAATCTTTTAACACGATACACTAACACAAAGCAGATGCTTGCGATTTACAAGAAGCTAACTCTGTTTACCTAAACAAACTGCTAAATGTTAGCAAATAAAGCGCTGAAGATCTTTAAACTTGAAATTAAGAGATCCTCGCAGCTAAGAACACTACTGAAACGAGTAGTTGTAAATAGGACCTGAAACCGTACGGGATTTGAATTTTTTTCAGGTCCTATTTACAACTACTCGTTTCAGTAGTGTTCTTAGCTGCTAGGATCTCTTTATTTCATTTCTCCACCGCAGTGCAAATATATAAATTTTCATATATCTAAAATCATCATCTTTAAACTTGTTTAATATCAGGTTTTATGGGTGCGGTTTAGTGGCCCCAGAGGCAATTGACGGCTTGTATATCCTGGATCTTGGAAGTGGATCGGGACAAGATTGTTTTGTACTCAGTAAACTGGTTGGTGAACACGGCCATGTTACTGGAGTAGACATGACCAAAGAACAGGTATTTAAGTAGTTCTTTATAGTGTGCATTTCGACTGAGCGTTTTCCGACCAAAAACTTAGTATGTGGTTAAAACGCCACATTAGAACAATGATAACGACAGCGGTAAAAAATCATAAGCAGACAATAAGAACTCGAAGTAACACGTTATAGACAGAGCGGAAGGATAGGAATTTGCAAGTCGAATTTAATGTCCATATTTTGGTTGATTGCTCGAGAGGGGGTGGCGTAAATTATCAAAACCGGTCACTGAGCGGAGTGCAAGAACAGCACCAACAAAGGTTACTTGTGGAATAAGTTGGTATTTCGTTTGAATTTAATTTATTCATCTTTTTTATCTCTTCCATCAATTTAATCAACTTAGAGTTGTTCTTAGTCTCCCATTTTCGACCACATTGCCTGCATACCTGCAAACCAATTGGATCAGTAGCTGGTTCTTTATAACCCTTTAGATATGATGAAAATTTAAGGCTAGGAACTGTGAGGATCCGCCCTAAACCATATCAATTTTTTTTCAAAAATCATCACTTAAATCAGACCCCACATGATATTTGAAATTATTGTTTAGTGTAATCGACAGCTATAAGGGAAGGGGGCAGGGGGATCCGTGTTTTCTTTTTCCAATGCTCCTTGTTCCCAAATTTACCAAAATTCTTAGTGAATTTTGCATATTGCATCAGAGTCTGCATGGAATATAGTAAGGTACAGTGGCTTATCTGTACAAACACATCAGGAGATTGAACAACCATAAATCATTGCCTCACACCTAGGTGGACATTGCCAACAAGTACGTAGAATACCATGCTCACCAGTTTGGATATTCTAAGCCAAACACTGATTTTAAACTTGGTGAAATGGAGCGACTGTCTGATGTAGGAATACAGGACGAGACTATGGACATAATAATGTAAGTAAATCCAAGAAACAGTCTGAAGGAAAAGGTGTATTAAATACATATAAATTTTATCACGTCCAGTGGATCCAAGTGGAGATGCCTCTCTAGAAGTATGTAACACAAATTGGCAATGACACAAGGTAAAGTAAAAAATAAATTTTCCATGACAGCTAGACGTATCTAACTTTCTTGTTCATCGTCTCTACGCTAAGTTCAAACTGTGTTGTAAACCTAACTGCAGACAAGAGAGTTGTTCTTAAAGAAGCTTACAGAGTTCTTAAGGTGAGACAATGCTGTTTTCAAGTTAATTTGTTATGTGTTCAGTGTGGTGAATCTGTTTAGGACCGTGATCAATATCACTAAAGTCTTATGACGTTATCTGTTGTAGGATGGAGGCGAGGTATACTTCAGTGATGTTTACACCGATACAGAACTGCCTGAGGAAGTCAGAAGAGACGAAGTGCTTTGGGGTATGTGATTTACTTTTGTTTGGTATTTTCTGTTTGTATAACATGTGGTATTAGTCTGATATATTTATATATCAATATTCTATATATAAAAATAAGTTTAACTTCATCATTATTGCGAGATACGGGTGCACAGACAAATGACTTCGATTTTATGTGGCTTCTCTATCTGCATACCTCATTTGGAGAACAGAACTTGGATATCGAAAATTAGGTAATAATTATGAGGTTTAACATCCTTAGGACCAAGGATCCTTGGGTGCCTCTAGGAAGAAAAGAGCCTTTTACAAGCTCTTTTTGTGAAGAGTGAATTCGATCAACTCCACAAGATAGAAGTCAGCGTTACATCTTTTTAGGATCAAACCCCTCCAATCCAGGATATTTGAAAATTGATTATTATTTGAAAAAAAAGTCTGTTTGTATACACGAAAAAAGTAGTAATGTTTATCAAATTTACTTGAAATGACGCGAGTTCGGTTTTGAAAATAAGAACTCTTCTCGTCTACTGGTTATTTTACCATTCCTTGTTACTTGTTTGATATCTGAGACGTGTTGTATCCTAAGGTGAAGGTGTTGGAGGAGCTCTTCACTGGAAGGAGTTGATTAAGCTGTGCAAGGAAGTTGGTTTCTCAGGGCCATATTTGGTTACTGCCAGACCTTTCGTGGTTGAACCACATCTTAGACAACCTCTTGGTAGGTGTTTAAATTGCGTCGTAAAACTGTTTAAATACGTAACGACTAAAAATTGTACGTTAGTGCTTTTTTTTCAATCGTAGGTAATGCACAGTTTGTGGCGGCCACTTATCGCTTGTTCAAGGTCCTTAACAGCAGTGAGACAGTTGCTTCTAGAGTAACATACAAAGGTATGTCAAACAGTGAACCTAAGAGCATCAAAACGCCTAAGGGGAGGCGCAGTAAAGGGGACGAAAAGTAGCTTGAAAAAGTTAAACAACAAAAAATCTTTCTTCTCGCCTCAAGGTTCCTAGTCTGTTTCTTTTGGCCTAATCCCCCGTAAGGTTTGGCAAGCCCCTATTTATCGGCTCCTATTTGGTGCGTATGCACTAGTAACTCAAGTATAAGCATAACCATCTTCATAGTGATAAGAGAGGGTAAAACAAAAGATTCCAGTGACAAACACGACAACTGCTTTGACACTTCAACCAATTTTGGTTGTGGCAAAATTATTTTGCTCTTCACTTTGAAATGAAACAAATGCATTAATTAAGATATCCTCAGAAAAAGAATTATCGAACAATTTTTTTTCAAATTTTCCTTAAATGTTCCCTACCAATGTCTGTTTCAAAAAACACATTAAAAAAGATAGGTCATCCTGCTTGTTTGAGAGATATGACGGGCCAGTTGCCGCATTTTTGCCTGTGCTGGCAATAATCACACGCGATATTTCATCGGTTCAGAGTACATTTTGCGGTAGCTGGGAGCAAGGGTTTTTAAAGTAACAGTTTAAAAAAACTTGATGAGTAGAAAGTCTTGAGCTTTTGAAAAAATTGGATATATAATTTGTGGAAAAGTCACTCGATTTTAAACGACATCGACCTAAAACGTTCATCGAGTCGTTGCTTTCAAGGTTATAATTTGTATCATCGAGTAACGGACTTCGTGAATGCTTTTAGCTGTTTTTTCTTTTCCCCACAGATGAACTTTTTCTTTATTTCTCCAAGTTAAAGGATGATTTGTAAAACCAGAATTATGGAATATAAAATATAGGTCATCGTGCTCGTTTAAGAGCTAAAGACCGTCGTACTTCTTTACCTGGTCCATTGATTTAAAACACAATACCGTGTTCTCGAAATGCACGCGCGCTTATTCGCCTGATTGCATGATTTTTATGCGCAGTACATGATGCGCAGTGCAATACTAAGGAATCACCGTAAGGTGTTGTGAACTTAAGTAACATAAACTTAACAGCATTAGCGCCCATACACGAGCTAAATCAAGAACTTAGTTTGCTTTTGCATCAAACACTTCTTTTTCCAAGGAACTATAGAGGACAACCCAAACGAACTCAAGTTGAGTGTTCATAACACCTTTACGGTATGTTAATTTTTCTTCATTGAGTCTTTTAGCTGGTAAAAATACTAGTTCCTGTTGCAATTAACATTGCTACTGAAATTTTTACAGAAGAAAATTATCTGTATCTATAAACACTACCCATGATAAATGAAAAATTCCGAACTGAGCGAGATTGTAACTCATGGAATTGTAACACACGCTTAGTACCCCGATAGATTGAGCTTTCAAGCCAACAAGGAGCTAATCATTGTGAGATTTCGTAATGTTCCCGTGATGGATAAATGCATAAAAGAAAGTTGCGCCTAAAACAGTCAGTGTGTTAACAACTGGTGTAATATATAGTTGGATCGTTGCCTTTCTATGTATAACTTAATAGTTGTTAAAGTAAGACGAGCTCCACGTACATAACTCGGTCCATTACAAAGCGGGAATCTATCTCAAGGGCCATGGAATTTAATCCAGTACCTACCTATTAACAAATTAGAGAGTTTTTCGGGCTTTGATTCATAGCTTTGACGATCTTTCCCCTTTTAAGTCGTCAATCCACGATTTAAATGGAAAACTAAATATATTTTCTTTGATCTGTAAGTCATTTATGTTGTAGAGGACAACCAAGGCTGTTTCTACTGAAGTAGCAGGTGTCCTCAGGGCATCCCGTTTCTCGAAGCATTTCGAATTCCAACCGCTAGAGCCTGGAACCACAGCTCCCGTTGATGACGTGTACATTGACGCGGATCCTTTTGCCTACTGTGTGTCAAACAAAGTGGCGCCAGGAGCATCTTGCCCCAAACTGGCTAAACTGGAAAGTTGAACAGAGAAACGGCTTGTTACCCAAAATGTAGGAAGAAGGTTTCAAGGCGCCATTTTGAGCATTCTGTAAAACCATTTTGAGACAGACTTAGTCTAGCTAGTTTGAACCTTCGTTGTCATAGTGAACAGGGATGCTATAATGTTATTTAATTATCACCTAGTCAGTTACTTTGGAATTCATATTCACTGTTTTGAACTTGAAGTTGAGCTTTTATACCGTTGACTGAGCTCTTACTTGAAATGCTTTCAAATTATCTTTTTCTTTTTGTAATATTTTAATAAGGTTTTTGATCTCTCACTTAGAGTTGTAACGATATGTGTCGATAAATACAGGACTAAGGGAAGCCATGCAGAACAATTAATAAACACCCTTATAAGTGTAAATTTGCAGTGTGTAAATTTTTGTGTGCTTATTAATTGTGTTACCAGGCTTTGACGTCAACAGGATCTCTCTCTCTGTGTTCCCGTGTTGTTGTTTAAATATACCGTTAACAAACATTGTCGAGGAGTTGGCGTAAGTTAAACCCCAATCTCTCTTTCTCTCTCGCGGCTATCAAAGTCGAAGGAATCCTGAGGTCGAACGAAATGAGAAAAGGAAGGGGCCGAGAGTAAATTCTTTTCAAGGGCTTCTTTAAACTACTGAAGAGGCCTGACGGCTGAAGCTCACTATTATCAATATTAAAAGTAAATACGTGTCTTCATCCAGTTGATAGTTGGGTGGCAGAATATAACATATATGTGTCGTTTTTCGTCAACACTTCTACAGACCGCAGTACAGAAAAAACCTGGCGACAGGAATTAATGCGAATAACAATGGAAACGAAAGAAAAAAAAAGGTCCAGACACCGGAGAGATCCATTATGCCCATAGTAAATGATTGAAAACTTATCTTCCAGAAATATATCTTTAATTTCAAAATCGTCCAGGTTCGAGTTGACAATTTTTAAAACTACAAGAATAGTTGCATTTAGTTAATAAGCCTTCAGCTTGACTGGAGAGCTCGGCGTTTATTATTTTGTATCCGCCTCTTAAAGTGAGAAAACTCATTTGAATTACAAATAATTTTCAAAATTAATATTCATATTTGCACTCGGTCTTGCACGTGGAAAGATTTCACGAACTACAAGAAATTTCAGCGCCTTCAGCTTCTACAGATGCAAGAAACACATTATTTGACCTTAATACCTTGGATATCGTCAGTCCTCTCAAGTTCAAGGGGTGTTTTTTTCTGCTGGGTCGAGTGGTTAACGGTTTGGTAGTCGAGGATTCATGTCTTTACTGTTGTCACGATTTTTCTTCAGGTAATTAACCTACGTTTAATATATTTGGGATAGAAATGCAGTGTTGCTATAACAAAATCAATTTATACAGTCTAATATTAGAAGAGAGAGCAACATCACATAACAGTCTAAGAAAATCTTTAGTGGCAGCCGCCATGACGGTTTCTTGGTCGTGTCTTGAATGGAAACGCCGAGAATATCGTTAACCTCTTTACTGTTATAGTACTTAAAGCTTATCGTTTATTCGCTTTTCTGTATTGATTTTTCATACTATGTATAGTTATTCCAGCATTAAGTTTGACTTAAGCAACTTGTTATTTCCCCTCTGTGCAACCCCACTAAAGAACGAGAGGGTAATCTCAGTTTCTAATCTTATCGATCTCTGTGTGACAGAGGTGACTCTTAGGGGTTCAAACACTGTTGCTTTTATGAATCAATTTTACTGCCTTGCATCTTTTGGTGGTAAAAGAAAGAGTTTCAAAGAAATACTCAGTCATTACGTGTAGGAAGTGTTTTGATTTTCTTTCTGACCTCCCAAACTACCAAATCGTAGAATAAAGGGGGTACGTTTCTAAAGAAACAGTAGTGTTGCGTCAGTGAGAGAGTATAACGGAGCAATAAAGTATTATCTACTGAGTTGATAACGTAAATTAGCCACCGTAAAGAGTTTCAAAGTTGACGTTTCGAGCGTTAGCCCTTAGTCAGAGCGAAACAGAACGGCTAACGCTCCAAACGTCAGCTTTGAAACTATTTTCGGTGGCCAATTTACGTTGTCAACTCAATTGATAATGCTATATTACCCTACCAAAGTGTTGGCTAAGCTTGTCAAATGCCTTTGTAATTTTAAGGTTAACTGTAAATTGGCAAAGTTAGATAAGTGATCCCTGGTTTTGTCTCAAAGTTTTTATGAAGTCTTTTAAGAATTAAATATGAATTAATTTTATTAAGCACCTTGAATAATTGTCTGTATCAGCAAAACGTGCCTGGTCTTTCCATCCTGACCTGAAGTCCCATTAGTTTCTCTTTATCCTGACATCATTCCCATTAAAGAAATATTTTCTTTTTCAAAAACAGCATCAAGCAAAAAGCAAGAAAGCCTGGCAAACAAGAAGTGAGAGGGTCGAGGAAGGAACAAAGAATATCATCCGATAAGGTTGGTTTTTTAAATTTGAAAATCCAAAAAATTAGATTTAAAATGAAGGAAAATTCAAGTAGAAATTAAAGATGATTCTTTCAATCTACGATTTCTTCGACCTCTGTCCCATTAAGACGACTTGAAGTGGTTCACTACGCTGTTGTTTTTATTAAAGAATTCTTTCGCGCTCTATATATTGGAAGTAAACACCTGGTATCAAATTACCATAGAAACGGTTAGCTTATCTAATACTAAAGTAGATCTGAGGTAAAATGCCAATCGTTAAAGTTAGCTCGGTTACTCTCAATTAATTTAACGATTTCTGTTTCTAAATTCTTACGAATCAATTTGATATGGGAAAGATAAAAACCATTCGCATCACAGCAATTACATATTGCTTTCCAGCCAATTGTTAATCAAGATTTGTTTCGCTGGTTGTACCATTTCACTAAAGCACAGAAATTGCAAGTTTTTAACAGCCACCTTAATCCAAATTACACATCACAGATCAGCTTTAAGTCTCCCATCTCCATTTTGCCTTTCTTTTTTTTCAGGTGTCGGTATCGCTCAAAAAAATCTAAGAAAAGATTAAAAGGCAACTCATTTTAGATAACATCTCATGCATTAAAACTTAAAAAATCAATAGAAAAAAACTAGATTGTTTTTGTATTTTTTTATTTTTTTATTTTAATACAGGATTACAAGGACGAATGGGAAATTGGATGTATCGATTAGACTTCATAATCAGTGGATTGTGTCGCCTCCATGTGGTGTCCAGGGCAAGTGGTTTGTTATCATTAAGAAGCTGCACCTAATCAATTGAGGCAGAAGCACATAATATAGAAGCATCATTGATTGCATCATTGATGCATCATTGAAGCATCACAGAATTGATTTTCTTGTCAGGGTGGAATGTTAAAACAATCGTATTTTCTTAAAGTACTGTCCTAGCGTTACGAGTTCAGTTTACGGCTCACACGTAGCTCTTCAACAAAATCTCACAACGGATACGTAAATCCACAACTAGCATTCAGCGAGGCAAAACACCTTACCTACAGCCAACAAATGAAATGCAAAATTTTAGAGCTTTTCCGGAGCAAGAAGGGCTTGAACAAATTAGTTCGCCATTACGGAATACAACTTGAGGTCACTTTATCAGAAGAATGTAGAGAAATAGAGAGAAAAAAAGAAAAATTATACATCGACGCAAAATAATACAGCCCTTATCAATGAGCTTGATCACAATGTGGAAATTGTTGTTCAAACACAAAATCGAGTGAACACGAGGTGAAAAAGAATTTTTCAAAAAAATGAAAGAGTTTTCCTAGGAAAAAAATCTTGTAGCACAATTAATAGACTACAACCTTGTATAATCATTTGCTGCAAGCATTGATTTTAGCGGAGTTAACTCTTCATTAACAATATAAATACCTCTTACTAACCGAGTTCGAGTTCATTACCGTAAGTTACAGACCTACTTTTTAACCGCTCAGATTTATTTCCCGCGCATCATAAATCCGATCAGATAAAATGAGGTTCTCAAGCTAAGCGATATAACGAGGAAACATGGCTAGTAAGATATTTAGCATATCTCTTGGTTCAATTAGAGGGGGGGGGAAATTTCAATTCTAACAAACTTTTTAATTTAGCGAACCGTACAGCGAACTACGGCCGCTAAACTGACCAATTACCGCACGTGTTAACCGAGAGATATGATAAGCTTCCTTAGTGTACGACCTATTTCTCGACGAGGATTTGATTCAGTCGCAGTCCTCACAATAGTTAGAAGGTTAAGTATCGCTTAAAAATCCGCGCTAGAAAACTCATAGGATCCGTAAATTGCAGGTTCTCCCAGCACGTTTGACCTTCTTACTGTCTTCAGGATCACAAAAAGGTAGACAAAAAAAAGGTCTACACAGGATCGAAATCTCATTTTATTTCTTCTAAAACTCAATAATTAAATTTTTAAGTAGTTACGTTTTCTTGAGCAGATCCTTTATTTTTTAAACCTACAAAGCAATCCACTTGATTCTCTGCGACAGGTCAGGGGAAGTTCTCGGGAAAAATATCAAATTAGAGAAAAGTCAGGGAATCTTCCGTTTGCGTCAAGCAAGTTAAAACGTCGTTTGAAGTACTCACGTAAGAGTGAAATCTACCTTTCAAGAACACATCGCTCTTTTCGTTGCCCGTTCAAGATGAAAATGCTAACATCTATTTTTTTGGGATGTTTCTTGTGTAATTTGTTTGGTGTAGTTGATAGAAAAAGTCAGGGAAACTCAGGAAATTTCTAAAACCTGTGGCTGTGACAACTATGGTTCACGGTAGTATCCTGCCTGAATATAGGCAGATAGATCAGTTTTGCCTTAATTATGCTTTCATTTTTTCACAGTCGGTGAGAGCTAAGAAAAGAGATTTTGACATTTAAGTTTGTCGTCATTTTTGTTGGAATGATAGACTACCTCATCCTTTGGACATAAAACTCGTTTCCGATCCTCTAACAAATTACTTCTAAGGACTTTCCCTTGGGTTCTACTTTTTTTTCTTCAAATAATTCTGTCTATGGTTGCATCTGTTCAAACATAACTTAAGTTTAGAAAGAATGCAATGAGAGACGAGTGGTAGATAAAATTACAGTTCAAAGAACGCTTGTTAAAAGCCGGACTCCTTCAGGGAAAATTTTTCGAAGTTTTTCGATTGAATCATTGCATCGCTGCATTCATTTCTTCCTCCTTCACATTTTCTCCTAGACACCTCAAGTGAGGCCTCAATAATTTTTTTCTGTTTAATTGATTAGTTAAAGATGAATGAATGTTTAACTTCTAGCGGTACTCCTGCAATTGGCTTCTTTTTCAGGTGTAAAAAAATATTCAACCAGAACTAGAGGTATTATTTTGCTATCATTTCGTTTTTTAGTCTGTTAGATGCCGTAAAGATAACTTTAAGATAAAATGTTAATTTTAGATTGTGGTTAATTTATTTGTTGTGGCATAGCTGAACGGAAGCTTTTGTCATTCTCTTACCATGGACCATAAATTGCTTGTGAACAGCAAATTATTATAACTGCCGATTTGTTTAACAAATAGAGAAGCCTTGATTGTGCTCTGTTCTGTTGTAAAGCACGCAGGAGCAGCGTTGTACTCTGATAGATCACGCTATTTTAATCAATGACAGCGCCGATTATATCTGAACTTTATTATAAAAGTGAAAAATAACCGCGTGCCTGTCCTCTTTCAGCCATCGTTGTGTAAAAAAGAAAGTCAAGGGAGACCAAGAATACTCTTTATTCTGCTGAGTCTAGCTATGTTGTACACTTAAACGAAAACTTGTGAAATGGTCACGGACAAATATCAACTTTGGAAGGAAAGCAAGACTGTGGGCGGATCTCTTGCCGTCGGCCATCCCTGTTCGCACCCACTTCTTTAAACTAGTTTTTTTCAGTCTTTATTTAAGTTTTCTACCTTGTGATAGTAACATTCGTTTCAAACGCATACGTTTTGTGTAACCAAACGTCCGTCTAAATACATGCTTTTTTTCAAGACTGATATTTTTATCCTATGGAAGGGTTTGTCAGTAAGTATGGTTGTGTGTTCCATGACAAGTGCTGTTTAGGGATTTTTGTCCTTTTTTCTACACAGATTTCACGTAAAATGACCACCACAGTAAGGATATCAAAGTCAAATACACCTTTTGTTGTTCATTTACGCAAAATGCACCCTAAAAGAAAATCAATTGAATGGTATGACAATCAATTGCGTATTAGAAACATACAATAATACAATTTGCATAGAGACGCGCAATCAATTGCACCTTCTTACAAGCGTTTATTCAAAATGATCAGCAAAAGGTGTATTATCCATAGTAAGGTAAGCACAACTGCAGATTGGGAGTTAGCCACTTTTTATAATTATTTGTAGGAGTTATGCGCCTTGTGGCACCAACATCTTTTAATAATAATACGCATTTGTATTACGGAAGACGCTTGGTGCGAACAGGTTTTCAATCCTGTTCTGAATTTTCCAACTGGTCTAAGGAAATACCTCATTGACTCCTTCGTTTTTCTTGTGTGTTATAAGCCACACGTAATATTCTTACTCACATTTTCGTCTTTTTGATTTTGAAAAAGTACTAATTTTGTTTTCCAGAGATTTACCAATGTACATGTGTAATATACGTTAAACCGTTGTGCACCTCAAAAAAAAAAAAAAAAAAAAAAAAAAAAAGTCAGTCACCGCGCGGTGCGCTTTCTTTTCCTTTTACAAGTACCGCGAAGGTTACAAGTTTAGGAAGGTCACAGACACTTCACGACACTTATTGAGCTTAAGTACGGTTGAACAGAATGTTTCCTTACTCGGAACTGGTTAGATCAAATGACCACCACAAACCGTATAATATTAAGCCAAGCTTTAATAATTATTCGATCTAAAAGAAATACATTTATAATTCGCAATTAGAACAAACGCAAATCAAGTCTTTATCTTGTAACTAAATTCAAAAACTTCAATATAAACTTACTTCTGTGGCGGGTCGTTACAACAGTCTCACTTTACGGGTTAGCAGATTCTCCAGGTAAGCGGATTTAGAGACAGAAAAACGATAACAAAATAACTTCTTTCTCACTTCGATTCTGCTGAAAAACTGACTTAAACATAATAATCTAACGCTTTTAAATCAATCTATTGAATTAATGTCAATCACGATTCTTGTCATCGAATAAATCTGTCAACACGAGGCAACGCCTATTTATTAAACGAAACATTCTCCGCCCCGATAAGGGCGTAGTCCTTATCCTTCTTGAAGTCAGCCTAACTTTCTTTAGTCGTATCCCTCAGCAGGATATATAACAGCAATCTTGGTGACTGGGCGGCTGTACTCTCCGGCTGGTGTTTTTACTTTGACATTACGGACTCGGCCATCTGTCCCGGGATACACCTCGATTACTCTGCCGATGGTCCATTTACCGCGGATAGCATTGTTGTCCGCCATGACTACAATGTCATCGACTTGTACGTTTCGCCTTTCTGTATGCCATGCTTTCCTTATCACTAGTGCTGGCAGTACGTCTCTGCTCCAACGCCTATTTATTAAACGAAACACAGAACACTTGTTATTGAAGTGAGTTTACTTTATTATTCATTGCGAACATATTCATTGTTTTTTTTTCGGTCATTGTGCGATGTGGTACAGTTGAACTAAACGAGTGTCCAATTGTACAATGTTGTGTTTGTACATAATAAGAACATCTTATGCAACATTTTGTTACGCTGTGGCTCATTTACTGTTCTTCATTCTTTCTTTCGTAGATTTCATGACGAATGAACACTTCAATACACCGTACAAATAATTGTCAATCTCAAAAAGGAAGCAAAAATTGGGGGTGGATCCACCTCTGTTCCCCACAACAACCGAAAGTCAAAGGAAGTTTTTTTTAATATCTGCAAAGCCATCCTCCTTGTGATAATGACATCATGTAATACGCATGTGCGCTAAGACAGACATTTGGTGACAGAAAACGCGGGCATTCGAAAATAACTGGTACTACCACAAGGTAGACAACTTTTATTAAGAATTAAGTAAACTGTACGCTGGAGGCGGGTGCGGCGGGGGAGGTCGGATGGAGAAAAACAACTGTATAAAATTGTTGTAATATTGTACTGTATTATAAGATTATTATGATCGTATTGTAATAATGTACTGTAATATTGTACTGTATTAAAAGATGTGTGAATCACAAGGTAGATGAGAATTAAGAAAACTGTCTAAAAGTGGCGGGTGCGGTGGTAGATGATGAGCAGGAAACCGTTTTTGGTTTCCTTCCAAAGTTGATAATTTATAAGTACCGTCTAATAGAGGCAGAGACGGGTGTGGTGGGGGATGGCGGACGGATAGAACCCCAATTTTTAATTTTATTCTCTGAATTAGGGGTCGATCCAATTTTGCTTTCTTTCCAAGATTGATATTTGTCTCTGATCTTATATTTAAGGTGATCGTGTTCCTTGGTATCCAGCTTTGGGAGGTCGACCAAACCTGCAAAACAAGGAAATGAAATCAAGACCAAACATTTGAGCCATAAAAACGTTGTCGCAGCTATCAGAGTGAAAGTTCACGTTTTCCAAGAGAGATTGAAAATAATTTCTCCAGTCTTTTTTTCTTATCTGGCAATCTGAAGTAAACTGCATTAAAATATATTTAATCACCTGACAAACACGAGACGCCAGTCTTCAAAATGGCTTCACTATCGAGCAAACATTACTCCATAGTGTAGGATGAGCTTTTTCTTGATGTAATTATTGTAGAAGCTTTTCTTCTTCTGACAAACAGCAAATTTCTCCTGCCTTTCCAAATTGATGATTTCTTAGGCCCGAACTTTATTATTTGCTTTCTTCGGCAATCTCCATAAATTTAAGATTGTAAATTTAAACTGTACTTTTATGTGAAGGGGCAGAAAATAAACAAAACATAATTTAAACGAAACCAGGTTCAGTGTGCTGTTTAAGTCTTTGAGTCTGAAAAACTACCAAGTACAAGTCTATCAGAACAAGAGAATGCGATATTCTCTTGATCAGAATGAAAAACGCATCTCTTTTACGAAATAAAGTAAACGGCGATGGAAAGAAAACAGAGAAGGAAGAAACTGTACGCGAAGAGCTGTCAAATCCCTCGTGCAGCGTGAATTCTGCTTTTGGCATAAAAATTTGCATATTTGCACGTGGCTCTCTGAAATGGCGCCGCAATTCTAAATGCTGTAAGGCAAATTTTTCCGTAGTTATTGATAACACGAACAATTTTGGAGAACCCACCTGCGGAGTTGTATGACGTAAATTTGACTGATTCGATTTCATTTTATTCAAATTTTTAACACTAAAATGGACAGTGGTTGACTTTTTAATGCTTAAATTACATGTTGAGGAAATAACTACAATAACAGAAATAAGCTGGTCCTCTGTAATTTGGGTTTGACAGAAGCGGATGCTAAGATTTCAAGAAGCCAAACCTTGTAGTTATTTTGGACCTTGAAGCAGTTCAATTTTAGTTTGCCCTTAACGATAGGTTCAACGTTTTAAGCTGTTAAGCCCTAATGTAATTTTCTTACTTCTGAGATCTGATTAAAAGACTACTTATCCAAGCAGTTTCAAGAAGTGAGAATGATTAACGATCAAAAGTAAGTGGACAGCATCTCATTGCAAACTGAAAGTCTAAATTGGTTTCTGTAAAATATAACCATGGACTCAGTAAGATGTAAAACTTTCTAACCTGTAATTAGTACATCGTCATATCCGATTTAAAATTTCAATCCCCGTAGACATCACTGACCATTCCCACAGAACTGCAACCTTCAGAGAATCCACTGTCTACCTGAAAAAGACAGTTTGAGCAAAACTTATTTCCAGGTGTGAACGTCTGCCAGATTGCTGCATCTGACACTGTATGTAAATTATTAAATACTATACATCTGAAGCGTAACTTACACTAGAAAATAAAGGATAGCCAAAGTAAACTCCATGTCACTACCCTAGGCAATTTCCCTGCCACCCCTCTAAGGAGGGGAGAATTCGATTCTAACTGCAAACTCTGGCTGATTATTCTAATCCAAAAAAGCGGTATACATATATCACAAACACTGCACCATTATTCGGGCATTACGTCACCAAGATAAATTTAAAATAGATAGCAAGTAATGGAAAGCCTTAAATGTTATTAGTTGCAACACTTTTTTACCACAAAGCTAAAGGCCTTTACGACACGTTCTGCTCTAAAGAGCGAATAGGAACACAAAAACTGTAACTGTACGATTCGTATGGCCAGAATTCAATTAAACAAAATCTATGCGTCAATTTGGCAAACGATATTGTCTTTAAAAGACTTAACTTCCTCGAAAGGCAGCTTAACCTGCCTTCTTTCTCGGTACCCCCTCCCACTTCCCCCACCCCCTGAATAAACCATCAACGACTTGGAATAGAGTCCAGGGCCCAGGTGTATAAGGGGCGGATGACACTATACAATGGATAAATCGCTATCCAGCGGATAAGAGATAGCAAAACGTGAAGCTTTATCCACCGGATAGAGATTTATCCAGTGGATAGTGTTATCCGACCTTCGAACAACCGGAGCTGGGAAAACAACCTGCCTGTTACAGAGATCTTCAAAACCCTTAGCGAAACTACATGCGACGTTGGAAGGTATCCGTTGCGTGATGAGTCGCCGAGAACATCCATCGTTTCTTTGCAATTTTTCACAGATGAACTCGCTGGTTACGTAAATTTTGCATTTTAGAACCCCCGTTGTGAAAAAGAAAAGCCCATTTTTACCACCAAGTTGCCCATCTTTAAACTTCGTGTAAGCAGTGGAATCAAAACGTCATGTAGAAAAGCATGAATAAAGACATTACAACGTCGGAGTAGACAATTTTTCTCCTAAAAGAACTTCTTCAATATAACCTATGCGCATTTCAACACTCTTCTCGATCGTTGTATTTAGCCGTCACCACGATATGCCATCCTGCTTAATTAAGTAATCCACTCCTATCAATACTCCATCCACTCAAATCCCAGCCCCACCTTAAAAGTTGTAATTTCGCTTACCTAACACTGCATTGTATACCGTAGTTAAAATATTCCATGCAATTACATACTCCGTGCAAAGAACTCTAATAGTAACGTAACGCGAAGTCTAAACCAAACCGCGGTTTTATGCAAGCAATAGGGCCTACTTATTCTCCACAAGAGGGCTATTTTCAGTAACCTTTAATACCCATGAGTGACCAAGACAGAATTTCTCCGCACAATATCCATTGAATATAAACAGAAAAGTGATGGGAATAGAGAGAAATATCAATTAGGCGATTTTTAGTTGATCCAGTAACAAATTCTCCGAACGAAAATCATAAGAATTGTATGGCAGTCATTGAGGAGAATTACTAATGAGATCTTGAGAGAGAAAGGGTTAATTAAAAGCCGCGCCCCCCCCCCCCCCCCCCCCCCCCCAAAAAAAAAAAAAAAAAGACACAGCAATCTTTTGGTCCTCTTGACACTTTTCTCAAAATTAAATGTTCAGACATAAGATTAAGCTAAATTCAAGAGTATACAGTCAAGTTGTCCCAAAGTCATCTTGCCCAAAGTCATGTCCCTTGGGACCCGAGTCATGTCACCTGTCAAGATAGTTTAGAACACAGTTTTGTTAAACAACAACTAAATTTTGTTTAAATAACATAGGCTGTAAGTCTTCAATGGTAAAACATTGTTGCTACTACTACTAAATAGTGAGAATACACTACAAAGTTAAATATTATGGGATAATCAGTGAGTTAGTTATGATAATAAGTCATTCTCTAAGTCAACTAGCCAATCAGCCAGCCAGCCAGCTGGTCAGGCAGTAGTCTTTCAGTCAGCCAGTCAGTCAGCCAGCCAATCAGTCAGTCAGTCTGCCAGCCAATCAGTCAGTCAGTCAGTCAGTCAGCCAGCCTGCAGTCAGTCAGCAAGTCATTCAGCCAAACAGTAGGCCAGTGAGCTAGCTAGCCAGTCAACCAGTAAGTCAGTCAGTCAGACAGAAAATTTGTAAGTCAGTCAATCTGTCAGTCAGTCAGCAAGCAGTCAGTCAGCGAGTCATTTAGTCAGTCAGCAGAGTAGTGAGCTGGCTAGCCAGCCAGTCAGTCAGTCAGAAGGTTAGTCAAACAATCAGTCAGTCAGCCAGTCAGTCAGTAAGCCAAAAAGGTAGTCAAACACTCAGTCAGTGCCAATCAGCCTGCAAGCCGGTCAGTAAACTAGTGAGGGAGCCAGCCACTTGGCTGGTCAGTCAGTCAGTTAGTCAGTCCAGTCAGTCAGTACGTCTCTCAGTCAGTTTCACAGCCAACCAGCCAGTCAGTCTCTCTGTCAGTCAACCAGCCAGTCAATCAGTCAGTCAGTCAGTCATCATATTGTAGTGCATTATGATGAACCTAAATGACTCATGTGAGCCCCTAGAAGACAGGCCCTATGCCAATTCACATCTTGACTTTTATTATCCATGTGCAAGGACAGGCACACACCAAGCCATATCACTAAGTAGAGGTTTTAGCTCTACATGTGAAAGTCCTATCATACATGTGTGGTAAAAGTTAATATTTAATGAGTGTAAATACACTATCCGAATCCATGAGCCTCTAAATCAGTTATCAAATAACACTGTGAGGGGAAGGGAGGAGAGAAAGATGAAAGTGATTTCTAATTGAGATACTTTTTTCAGATACATGTAATGGTGAGCACCAAATGGTGCCAGTATTTAACATATAAAATGCTGTTTTTTTGTTTTTTTTTAAGAAATAAGCAAAATGTCTGTTTTCATTATAAGTTAAACCATCAAATAAGTAACCATCAATCCATTATGGTCTCACTTTTTTTGGTTTCTAGATTCCAAACTAACTATACCGTCTTATCTGAGCATTGCATCAGTCACATATGCTGTGTGAGAAAGACAAAAATAATGCGAGCAAATCCATTTAAAGGTTTGCACATGACTGACAAAAAAATCTGAAGTGCTCAAAAACTTGTTGGTTTAAAGTCAAGCATTAAATCTATAATAAAACTGAAGTTTGGATTATTCAGTGCAGCCTTTTCATTGCTACCCTTCCATCTGTATTTTCACCATGTGCTGTTGTATTTTTGCCATGTCCTACTGTGAACTACAGTAAAACCTTGCGCTAAGAAAACTTGTTTCTATTACAAGAACTCAACCCTTATGGAGTATTCAGTAATAAAAAGTGCCACATTCTCTCGCAATTTACTCTAATATATAAAATAAAAATATCATGTTCTGTTTTCCTTTTTACAAAATAAATGATGACAATGTAAAAGTCTTTCCACATATAGTTCTAAATAGATTAGTCTAAAAAACACACACAACTCAGTAAAATTGATTTAAAGTCACTAACTGATGGACTAGTTAAAATATATAAAGGTAATTTATTCCATATAGTCTAGTTGCAGCAACTGAGAAAGCCCTGTTACCTTAAGTCTTCAAGTTGGTCTTTTGGAATTCTTAAAGATACTTCTTGTGAGCATGAGAGGGACCAACAGATGACTGATACATGCAAGTGCTGGATAATGCAAACCCTTGTTTGTAGATAATAAACTTTGATAATAATTTGCCGCTCCATAGGGAGCCAGTGTAAATTCATCAAATTCGGAATTGTGTGCAGAGCCCTAAACTGTTTAGTAAAAAGGCACACAGTGCAGTTTTTTTCTACTTTAATGAACCAATGAGTAGTGACTTATCATTGTTTAAATGACAAATAACCCTTTGAACAATACCAGAGTAAGATCAAATTTAATTCTAATCAGTAGATATGATGTTTGTACTGTTATAGCTAAAATTATAGATATGGATTCAAAGTATTCTCTGTTTTCAATGTTACTGAGTGAATGTGGGTGTAACTTTGATAAAGCAACCAACTTAAAGCAACTCTCTTAAGACTGCACTTATGATCTCTTTTAATTTCTTTCAAAAACTTTGCTTCCAAAATTTGAGTTGCCAAACTTGGAGTGCTGCTCATCTTTGAGTGCAGCTTATATTATCTACTGATGTTTACAATAACTGTCTTAATCCTTTCAAATCTAAAATTACTTAATTATAACCTCTAAATAATGCAGTCTCAGTCAACCAGCCAGTCAATCAAATTTCCTACATGCTGATGGAAAGATCTCATCAAAACAAGTCATTGCAATTGTGTTCAATCAATTGTGAAGCTACCATTTTTTCAGATGAGATGGAAGTAAACACAAAAGCAGGTGTTACTTATTTGTAAGATGTGCTGATTTGAGACTGTACCAAGGCAATAGAAGGTATAACAATTGAAAAGAGTACAGCCTTTCATTGGGATCATCAGGGGGAGGGGACATTGTGTGACGCCAAACCTAAAGGATCCACTGAAGGATCTACCTAGTGAGTCTCTGCCCCATACGAAAAAAAACTACAACTACATCAGCATTCGTACCTGAAAAAGCTCCTTTAACAACAACAACAACAACTACAACAATAACAACAACAACAACACCACGTGTCCAGAGGTAACCTGGATTAAGTATTCAAATACCCAGCAATACTCCTTCACAAAATAGCGGACTAATTCACCCATTTTAAGCCAACTAATTCAGTTATATTTAATCATAGACAGATTAAATTGATGAAAAAAAATTGTAGATTTTAAAGATTTCTTTACTAACCTCTTGCTGACAAGTTGACATTTGGCATGCACTTGGGAAACATGGTCTTCATCTCTATGTTATGCGAACTCTCTTCCTTCCATCTTATATCTAAATATTACTAAGCGATGGAAAGTTTCTGAGAAGCTGAAGGGCCCTTCAGTTCCGGACCTTGTACCAAAGCAAGCTGTTATTTCCCTGCAGTTCTCACAATTTCTACCACGCCATGTTCCGCCATGTTGGAGTGAACCAGTTTTACCCAGCCCTCCTCCCTAACGAGGAAACGCGCACGTTTCGTAAACATCAACGCACGAAAACGCGGGAAATTGCAGATACTGCGCGGAAACACGTAAGGTTTTTTCGGACTTTCGAGGTAGGGAGAATTTCCATCATGTTCATCAGATCTTTTTAACAAATAAATACTTACTCGGGACAGACAAGGAATAGGTTCAACGTTTACTAAGTTTCCAAGTCAGGAGCATTCGCCGTAATTATCTTTCAGACTTCAGAAGTGAAAAAGTTATTTTTAATATTAATTGTGATTTATTCACACTATATCCATTTTGAAATCACTGATGATCCTTGTAATCTGATTTGCTCTCAGTGGCGCGATTTATTCACGAATCGTACCATTTTTTGCCTTAAATCGCATCTTTTTCTCAGCTAATAATATACATGGAAAAATTACTTAGTTCTGATTGGTTGAGATAAATGCAGTTTTCAGGTAATTCAGTGCAGAAGAGAGTTAATTCAGTGCAGAAGAGGGTTAATTCAGTGCAAAGAAAGAAACAAATTAGATATTCTGATTGGTCAATAATCAAAGAAACTCACAGATAGCTAATCAAATGCGAGCCTTGGATGTCGCAACAAAATTTGAAAATTTGCGAGCACCCTTATAGAGGAGACAGAGTCTGTTGCGTGGCGAGACCAAATAACGGTTACGAAGCTACGAAAGTGGATCGGAAGAGAAACTTCGGAGTTATAGCATGATATTTCAGCCGTCTTATACGAGAGATTATTGCCTTGCTTTAGAGGGAAACCTTTCATTACAAAAAAGATCGCCTCTAGGAGAAGTCGCGCATCTTACCCGTCAGAAATGAACTTAAAGGAGAAACCATGCGACGAGGGGGATAAAACAATTGAACTGAGTGCGTTGCGTAACGATACCACTCGGCAGCTGCCGAGCAGACTTCTTACAGCGCTGATCCAGTTGCAATTGAAAAGAACCATAGTAGGTGAATAAGTTACCAGAAAGCATGTTCCCGAAAGTAAGTTTAATATATTAAGCTGATAAAAGAGGTATCATGTAAGTATGACGCGACAAAGGAAGGAGGAGCCTTTCTAACAACACCAAGGTGTCCCAAATATTAGTTTGAACATAAATAAAAGATATGGTAATTTTCGTCTCATTGGAACTCTTTGGAGAAAATTTCCTGCTGCATGATTTCATCATAAGCAGCAACATTTAAATACGATTGATGCTATGTACGCATACTGACGTAACCTTTACGTGGCTAAGAGTCTAAGTAACGTCATTTGAACATCTATGTCTGAGGCTGTAACTACCCCTCATCAGAACTGAGTGTTTTCAATAAGTTAGCCAGCTCAGCATCTGATACAGATTTCTGATCCGGATCGCTGTCCTCGTTCTGTCTTTGACTTCTGTGATTGTTCGATTCTAGGGAAAGCGATCTCTCGGAATCATCCCCTTCGTGGGATATTTCCATATTATTAATGCAGTGCGGCTCGCCAAGCATGTTATTGGAACTTTCACTGTCCCTCAGCTCATCTTCTCTACAACCTTTATCTTCATGCTGTTCAGATTCTGGCAGTTCCTCGCAAGAGAGTTCCTCAGGTTGAAAATCTTCTACTTCCTCATTACCATCATCGTCTTCTTCCTCGACAAACTCTAAATAGTCTATTCCTTCCAGCCCGTCACCAGGACTCCCTGCCACATTAACTAGCATCCCCTCTTCGACGTCACTTTGAAAAGGGCGTAAATCCAGAATTGGACTCCGTGGCCGGGGATCCCATCTTGGGGATGAAGGGGAGTCCGGCTCGCTCACCTTCCCGGCGTCCTCCAGGTCATCATGTTGATTGTTGTGACCATTTGAACGACGTTCTTCGTCAGGGATTAGCGACTGAATTCTACTACAGCTGAGCTTATCTGCTTCTGTTGAGCCATATCCTCGGTGACCTGGGGAAAAGAAATCTCTCATAAGTCAACGGGACGAACTCCATTGGAAAGGAACCAAACGAAATAAAAAAAGTAAAAAAATTCAGAGAAAACAGTGTCTAGGAAGGTAAAAGCAAAGTCTGTATATCAAGGTGACTTGCGTAGTTGTCATAATGGCTATACATGATCAAAAGATGAACAGACCTACCACCCCTACTGGATGTGATGCTCTTTCATTGTAATTAAGCCCATTTCGTCAGGTTTCCCCAACAGCTCACGGGTAATCATTTATAATTCCTGGTGATGAGAGGCACCTTGTATGTCTTGCCCACAAACACAACTCAATTACATGGTTCACTTTCTGAGACAAACCTTGTAACGACCACAGTCCTGACACCTCCAGCGTCTTGAGTTTCTTTTCAAGTTCTGCGACTCTGTGGCCTAAAATCCTACACATGATATGGATAATAGTTAGAGTCCTAGCATACAGTTGGATAAGCATCATAACTAGTACTCTAACACCCTGGCAAACCCAGGGAAACGTTACGTTAGCAGAATGTTTTAGCAACAATTCATTCAACCACGCAAATCGCACAGAGCTTAGACATTCGTTCAAACTCCTCTGAAAATGTTTCTCGCCTGAGGGTGTTCAAAAGCTACAAATTTGAAGTATGATTTGCATTATGTTCAATTTCTCTGGAAATAACTTCTGGATCGCCATCAAAATTAGAGATGGTTCGCCTACTAAAGATTAACTACCATAATCTCACTTGTTAGCACTTCTGAGGTGTTGCAAGGCAGTGTCCTTTTCAGAAAGTGTCTCAGATAAAGAGTTGGCCAAAAACTGCAAGTCTGCTACTGTGGATACTGATGTACTAGAGCTGAGATGTCCCACAAGATCAGAGAGGAGTGAAGGCACAGCTATGAAAAAGAAAAAAAGATCGTCAGTCCAATAATACTTGTTGAGAGATTATAATCTCTTGTATTTACGTAAAAAAAGAATGACTCTTGATCAATTCATCAATGCAAACTTTATTTCACTCCTCAAAGAATTTACCAATATGTATATGTACATCACTTGACCCCAGAACTGACCTGACAATAGTCATTTTGAAGGTATAATCCATGTCAAAAGGTCCTCATACACATCTTAAAAACACATCCAAAAGTCTACATCCTTTTTCACAGTCATGTACTGTTTGTGTACATTTGAAGACTGTGAATACAGAGATTAATGTCCCCTCTCCCCTCAACAATATTGCCAGCATAGCTGAGATTCATATTGTTAAGCTGAACGTTAATCAACACACAAAAGTATAATAATTATATAATTTCTGCTGTTTTCTTTTTACCATGTTTGGCTGTGTTTGTGTAGGACCCTTGGATCTGGGCCTGCATTATCTTGTTCTTTCGCTTTTCAAAAGTGTTCTGAGAGAGGGAAAAATATGGTAAACTTGAATTATTTTAAGCATATATGTACACTGCACTTTCTAAAATATTTAAATAACTAGACTATACAAGTATGAGTAAATAGAAATAAATTATACAATGTCATTTTTAACACAAACATATCATGCATCTTAACCTTGTTTAACAATTTCTAACAATGAATATTCCAACTATTCACAACTCTTACCTTGTATCTGTTCAAAGCAGACACAGCCATGTTTTTCTCTTCCTTCAGCTGCTTTATTTGTTCCTTTAAATACCTTCCAAATTTTGACACAAAACATTGTATTTCTATTAGTTGTGAAAGTTCATGTACATCATGAGGAAAAATATAATGTTCAATGATTCATAATATCATTACTATAAGAAAAAACAAAGGACTTAACAAAATCCCTATTTTAAAAGTGAGGGGAAGACTGATTGCAAAATCATACAGGTAGAGGTACTTGTACATTGTGCGGCCCTAAATCACCTTGAACTGACCTGTTTTCCATGAGAACTGAGTCAATGTCAACCAGTCGTCTGTCATCAGCACCAAGGATAAAGTTCAGTTGTGTATTGAGCCTCTCTGACTTGTCCTTAAAATGATCTCGCTAAAAGAAGAAAAAAATTCAAACTGTAATTTTGGAAGAGCAATGTTGAAATGTTCGAGGTAATTTGGTTTTATCAAGTAAACAGAGTTGATGAATGAATGTAAATTGGCTACATTAAAGAGTACTACTCTATAGAGTGGCTAACTTACATTATCAAACCAAGTTATTGTATAACACCCCATGCCAATGTAGCACCACTGTTTCTTTTGAAAATTAACCTCTTTATCAAAAATTTTAAATTTGGCTGGACTGATGCCTAGTAAGAAAAAGATGGACAGGATAGAAGAGAGTCCTATTTAAGACTCTTAAGAGTAATGACAGTCCTTTGAAAATTTTCAAAATATTCTATATTTACATGTACATGTATATTATTGTCAAAAGAATCTAATTACACTTACCTCTGTTGCAACTTCAGCTTTCTCATCACTGGTAGCAAGTTTGTCTCTTTCCAGTTCCATTATCTACATATTCATGGTTACCATGTTCAAAGTATAAAATAAAAGTATAAATCAATACACCTTACTTCACATGGTAGATACCTGTAGCTTCTTTTATATGACTGTATAAAAATGAAAGAAAGCTACAAATGACAATAAAAACAACAGCCAATTAATAATAGTAATTGAAATGAGTGGAGTGCAATTTGGGCTGAAATTATACATGTGGTGGTCCCATTAGAGGGACCACCAGTGATTTCAAAATGGGTGTAATAAAGGGAATAATTGTAACACATAGTCTATATTAGCCATGAGAAGCCTATTGCTATGATTGATCTGCCATTTTAAGCAAGCTTAAGATAATTCTTCATCTAGGACTGAATCTTATGGTCACAATAGATTAGATGGATCTCTTCAGACTATTGCTACTACTTCCCTCTTCAACCCAATGTATACCTCATAGCAAAGAGAGGCTGTTGGCAGTAAGGAAAGCAAAGTGTCTTGCCCAATATAATTATGACACAATACACTGGCTAGGGCTTGTAAGGTAATCATAAGATCCAGACTTCAGCACACCGAGCATTTTAATGCTTAACTTTAGTGGTTCAGCAATAGGTCTCCACAATATGCTTCTGTGAGTTCCTGTCTTACTGGATGCAAATTATTGCAACAGCTTGTCCACACAGCATTTCACATTGATTTGTCATCTTGTGCATCTGGACCTCTTTCTCCAACATATCTCCCTGACATAAATAGTAAAAATAAGTTTACAGTCAAATATACTCATCTGACCTTTTCTTGACTCTTCTCCAGTTGACAAATGAGATCCTGGCGTGGATCCATCCCATCTTTGCAATCCTTGATATTGTTATTGGACTTTCTTTGGTTAGCTAGAGTTTCCCGCAGGAGCTGGATGTCTTCCTGTGCATCATTGTAAAGTTGACGCAAATCTGCAAAATCCTTCCTCAGAGCTTTATTCTCTCCACGTGATTCACACAACAGCTGAGATAGAGTCTGTCACAACAAAGAAAATTGAACTCAATGCTAAAAACATGTATGTAAGTACCTTACACAAAGCAACTCACAGTCTTGTATATTGACTGATATCAAATGAAATGACTAATACCCCCTACATTCTTCTTACCATATATGTAACACAAACAAGGGAGGGGGGGGGGGGGGGGGGGGTAATTCTGAAGGAGATACTCTGAGTCCAAGCAATTACATGTGCAATGTCAGGGCATGAAATTAATCTTTTTTGATAGCCATTTGGCTCCTACATTTTTCAAAGTGATAGCCAATTTTAAAAAAGTTGGTCACCATTTCTAGATACTTATTAGACCCTCTAAAATTAAGTTAGGAAAAAGATCTTTAACATGCTACAAAGTGATGAAATACAATGTTGAAGCTCACCTAAATCCAAGATGGCATCTAGTTATTGATCGATATGCATGTGCTGCGTTTTGGAAACAAACTTAATAAAGAAGTTTGCCACAGATTTATCTTTGAAAATCTTTTTAATTTACTATATCTCCATGTAAGGTTATGATGAAGCATTCCAGTTGCCAATTTGGCAACTAATTTTCAGGATTTGGTTGCCAAAGTGAAAAATTTAGTCGCATTGGTGCCTGTATTAGGCACAATTTCAGGCCCTGAATGTACATTTCCATGGAAATGAGTTTTTCCTTTTGCATATTACAGTGATGAGAAAAAGATATCAAGCCAACCTTCTGTTTTCTTTCTCGCACATGTCTAAGTTCTTGCTCCCAAACACTTTGACCAGAGAAAGACAGTCTCTACAAAAAATTGAAATGATAGGAGTCACTGGATCACATACATACATGTACATATAACTTGTATAGAGAAGAGGTTGCTACTGTATGCTATGAGTTGAGGTTTTAACTTCAAAAAATGATACCAAAGCTGTAGTAATAGTCCACCTGGTGATATAGTTAAAGAAGTGTCATAAAATGTACAATACAGTTTTCACTATTTTTTCTTCTGTTTCAGATTGTAATGATGTAAATGTGAACAAGAGAAAGGGACCATATAAAACAGCACTGATTTATAAAAATTAAAAAAAAATTCAAACAAGTTAGTGCAATGTGTAAACCACTTTAACTCTACATGTGACCTTCATGTAGACTGTACTGTGATTAGAAAATATTTAACCTGGTAAGAGTAGGATAGTTGATTATCAGAGAAACTACATTCTGTTTTATTTTATTTTTGCTTGGAAACTTTAAAATAAAATTTTCAAAAAAAGTGTGGTGATTATTTTGAAAAAAATTATTTAAACAGTATGATCAGCTCACACAGAATGATAATGGTACAATGTAGGATGTGATATAATTTTTGATCTGATCCATGGTGTGTTGAGATCAATAACACAGTAGAGATAATTCCCTTACTTTCTTGACTGGTGTTGACTGATTCGATTTCTGAGCTTGCTCCTCTTTCTCCTTGCGTTTGTAATCCTCAACCTCTTTGAGCTAGGCAATTACAAAGAGGAATATCAAATACCAATACAAAAACAAAAACAAAACAAAATAGGATCACATCTTGTACTTGTAACTAAACACTTGACAGTAACCTAGACTTTCTAAGAAAATTTTTTACAATAGCTTTCCATATTCAAATCTATCATATCATTTGGATATTAATCAATTATTGCAACACAACTTTGTAATTGTTAGCTTTTACTTTGTTGTACCAGCTAATCCATTTTTGTAACAAAAAATAAAGTAATTGTTATTATTAGTTTTATTGTTACTTTAATGATCTGTGCACATTCTGTAAAAAACTTCATTTTCAACTTCAAAAATTCAATTTTCACAAGGTAGATTTCCTGAGACACTTTTGAAGAAGTTAGCAATCACATAGGACTGCTATGTACAGAATAATTTGTAAGACTTTTGACCCCACATACATCTTACCAGTTGCTTGATCTTTGTTTTGTAAATGTCCCTTTCCCTCTGACAAAGTTCTAAGTCACTTGTTAGGATCTTTAAAGCCTCCCTTTTACTATTCAACTTCTTCTTACAAATGTTAAACTGACATTAAAAAAAGAAGAAATCAATCAAAAATGAGCTGTACCATTAGTATAATAAAGATGTTATACTTCATGTTAAAACACAATGTTCTGCACCTCTCAGTATATTCAACTACTGATAACTCAGAGGTATTGAACAAGGTTTGAGTCTTTTGGGAGTTTGAAACAATACTGGGGAGCTGAGGGAAAAAATTTCATAAAAAGGGGGAAATGTTACTTTATTTCTGCTCAGGCAGTGCTCAACACTAAGGAGTAACCATTAGTGGAGATGCAATATACCTGTATCAGCATTTTACCAGTTTTACAAAAACACAAGTTAAATCAAGTTGGAAGTTAGATTAACAGAACTTAACTAGACTGTCAGGCTGTTTAGTGCAATGGATCAAAATAGGTCCAAAGTTTTGGCTCATGATGTACTTTGTTTTGACCTGTCTTTTGCCTTATCACTGACTGTAAACATGTTCTAGTTATTAAATGAGGATAAATTTGTGAAGAATAAAATCTAAAGGGGAATAAGAGTTCTTGTCAGTTAGTGGGAGGTTTGAGTTATCAAAGGACTGAACTACATGTATCAAGGGTTTTAATCAACATCAATTTATGACAGAAAACTAAGGAAGATCAACTTTGGTTTGAGTTACATGTAAGTCACAGTCAAGTTAGTGAGGATTCTTGTTACCAGAAGTCAACTGTACAGGTTTAAATGTCCCTTTATTAATAAGAGATATGCACCTGCATGTGAAGTATGCACAGATAAAGCTCTTAAAGTAGACACCCTTTGAAATGGCCAGAGGTATGACAAAGGCTTTTGTTTATGTGTAACATGTCATAAAGAATTTAAAACAATCATCTTTTTTAATAGACTGACAGTATATTGCTAGACAAAATGATGGTTTGAAAACAAACGAAACTAAAAGCAATAACCACAGAGCAGTTTACTGTTTTACATTAAACTGAGTTTGAGAACTGAATTATTTCCTCAAAACTGCCAATTGAGTTAAGTCTCAAAAAGTTCTTGGCACATCTTGCTACTCGATCCTCAATTCTCAATACTCAATGATATTTTCTATGATATAATCAAGATATTTTCATTTCTTGATCCTCGATTCTCCATACTCAACTCGTAACTTGAGGATCAAGTTTTGAGTACAGACTGCCAACTTTCTCTTGAAGAGTATTGTATGAAGGGATCAGGGTGGATTCTACTTTACATGCAACCCTCTTTCATCAGAATGATAGGTTTTCTATAGGGAGTTTAGATTGTTTCTTTGGTGAAGCTGTAAAGTTAAAATTTGAAGCTTTTAAGCAGTTTTTTCATAGGCACCAAATAAAAGTAATTGCAACAACAGTAACACTCCTGATTTAGTTTTTGGAAGGTAAAATTGACCTGACATTAGAGGTTTGGATTTCTACATGTATTATATTCAGCAGGGTGTAGATAAAAACTGGAACACCCTAGTAGCAAAAGTAAGTTTATAAATTTCACAAACTATAGTTTGTATTCTACAAAATTTTTTAACCATAGACAGCTGTAGATACAAACAATTAAATCCATTGTCTTTCACATCCTGAATCAAAACAAACTGTAAATAACGAGTAACGAGGCGCATAGTAGTTAAAAAAACATTCTTGTTCCTTTAAGACTCTGTACACCTATGAGCTTTCCAAATATAAAACGTGACAAAGAAAAATGTGTTCGCTCAACAACATGGAGTCGATCGATTGTTGTAGCATTCATAAATTATTTGAGAAGATGGTAATTCTTGTGGCCCCTCCAGCAAACTCATGATCTTTACGGAGGAATTGACTTACTACGCTTAAAATGTAAGCAAATGAAACGTATGAATAGATAATTCAGATAAAGAGGTTATGTTTCTCTCTTTCTTAAAACAGAAGAAGTAAAAAATAAAAACCAATTTATTATGCCGAACGATACGTTGCTAACTGATATTTTCATAGATCAGCTGATTTGCTCGGAAAATCACTTACTTCGTTTACTAGAATGGTCCACTCTCTCTCACTCCTCGCTAGAGTCATTCCATTAGAGCCAAATGATGTTCAAATGGGAACAAGTACAGGGAAAACACTTGAAATCTCAGGAAAACACAGGTTGATCAGTAGCCCTCCATCACTCCTTGTGCGTGGCAATTTGTTTGTATGCACAGCTGACGAGAGACTGAGCCCTAGTACTCAGACCCCTGTAAACGAAACGCGTAGAGACAACCGCCGGGTTGTAGAACGATAGACTGGATTTTTATCAATTTTCTGCAGTTATCTGTGAAGTAGAATAAATGAACTGAAAGAGTTAAACAATTGTCCCCCTGTCAAGTAATTTCATGGTTAGCATAATTTCCTTTGACCTAGTAAACGTTGTCAAAATATTTTTCTCGTCAAAATTCCATTGTCGTTCGTACGTTGCTTGGCCAAAACAAACTAACTTGAGCATCATAAAAGCTATGAGGTTTAATTTTGTCAAAAATATCAAAGATAAACTATAGAGAGTTCACAGAAATACAGTTAAAAGGAAATTGTGTCTTGGCAATTTACAATAAGTGCAAACAGTTCGTTCTCGGAGACTGACAGACCAACCAATTGTAACACCTTTTTTCACTGATTAGTAAACTGGAAACTGCTTGGTATACAATATTCTGGAACAACACGCAACAAGTTGTGAAACTATAAAAGCAACAATAAAGGTATTAATGCTCTATGCAGCTGCAAAAACATTGATTTGGCATGGCTTTAATACGAATAGCAAAAAGACATCAAACTATGTCACTTAATCACTAATTCTATAAAGTCCCGTAAAAAAAAACCAATACTATTATCAGGTCAAATAGGTCAAGACTGAAAACATTTACCAACTGACTACAGTGAGACATGAACTTCTGGACAACGTACTCTGTTAAAAATATTTCGAATGAAAATATCTCGTGAGAATGAAAATCAAGTTTGCTCAGGTTTAGCTGCATACACAGACAGTAGTTACGATGGGAAGAGAGGTCCTTTCGACATTCAAGAACTAATAAAGTACTAAACTGGGATACTTATCAAGATTCTCTCATAGGTCAAACATCCAATACCATCCTGTGAATTAAGAAAACATTCAAAACCGACGAACACGACGCATTGGTGTTTATTCAGAGAAGTTTTACCTGCAAATCTTAGATGGTCGATTTTTTTCCAGCTAAGGCTAACGTTTATCGCACACTCAGCAAAATGATGATTTTCTACTGAAAATCTGAGACCGAAAAAGGCCTCTGTGATCAAGGGTCCGTGTGACTCAATACAGGCGCTTGCACTCTTGAGACTAGGTGCGGTTAATAGTAGGCATCACTGCGGCGTATATGTATATTTTGGCTGGAGATTACGTTGTTCTCATTTAACAAGTTAAACTTTAATTCTGTTTTAACTTAGAAATTGCTTTAAGTCTTGTATATCAATCCTTAACCTGTACATTGCTCAAAGTTGACCTAATGAGACAAAAATATATTCTGGTAATACAAAGTACAACAAATTCTGTAGTCTGTTAATACATGGTACAATATAGTCTGTAGTCCTCTGAATTTTTTTACATAGCCGTGTAAATTGATCTAAATCCATACTTCCTTTTCATACCTACTGACTAGAGAGCAAAAATCCGCTGATTAAACGCAAGGAAAACGTAATCTGATGGCTCTTCTCAAGTCCTGGAGGCGCCAACAGTATATAAAGGGATTGATGGTAGAATTGGCATAGACTAGGGTTCTTGCTAATTCAAACAAAAGCCGGTTAGTTGTGTTTGTGCCTCGCACTGCAATCACAGAAACTATGCACAGGTATGGTAGATAACAGAAAAGAAGGATGATATAAACCAAGAACATTCCTGTTACTGACCTCCTAAAGTGCACCGCCGAATCTTGTGTGTTTGACGTGGTCTGTTCAATCGAAGATCGGATATTATGACGCATTTTCGAGCGGTGATACCGCAAGACAAGATAGATTCGAAAAAAGCAGCCGGATGTGGTGAGGATACAGAGTGAACCAACAGCTATCGCAATGGGGGTTATAATGAAAGGATACCACGGCCATGCAATAAGAGCAAGTGCTGCGAGCAGCCATATAAGAACGACAAGAAGAAGGACGCGGACTTTTGTCACTAACTGTTTATATCTTAGGTGAAGATAAAGTGACAGATATCGGTCGATAGACACTGCAGTGACACATAACAAAGAAACACCGCATAAATAAGTGGACAAGGCAGCAACAGCAGCTCCAGAAACACAAGCCATGCCGATACGTCCTTGTATTTTGGCTACAGAGTTGATGACAGCCAGTGGCTGGCTTAATAAACCGACCCCAAGGTCTGAAAGCGCTAGGCTAAAAAGTATAACATACGAAGGCGTATTTAGAATAGATGTTTTCCAAATGGTTAGTAGGATGCAAAAGTTCTCCAAGGTGGAAGCGATTGCCAAGAGAGTTCCCACGACACAATTTGCGATATACCAGTTCAGGAAGTCGCCAATTTTGAAGTAAGCTGCGTTCATGTTGAAGCAAATCTTTCCCACAGCATCGTCCGACAAGTTTAGGGTAATATTGGGCAAAAATTCCATAATTGCCGATTTCAAACAAGATAATACTTAATAACAGATGAATTTAAACAAAAAAATTGATAAGGATGAGGGTTAGAGTTGCATAAAGAAAGTCTTTGATGTTACGTGTCCCTTAGATAAAATCTATGGCTCTAGCGATTCCAAACATCACATAAGTTTTAATTAAGAGTGAGCTGAAGAGAAGATGTTTGCTCAACGATAGCAGATGTTTATTCAAAATGCTTTGTATCAGATGGCATCCCATTGTCCCATCGTACTTCTGAATTTCCCTTCCTTTTTTGCATATTTTTCTATGTCATGTCAAACTGCATCACCTGTGTACACAAAAAACAAAACATGGCATAGAACCAATCTCTGAGCGAAAGCAGCCTTGGTGATATTAAGATGGTCTGAATGCACCATGTGCACATATTATCTGATAATTCTTGAGGAAGATGCTCCCATTACTTCAGAAACCTAAGGAAATTTATACAAACAAATGAAATGAGATTTGACAGTACTAGCGGATATCTGAAACTTATGCATGATCTTTATCACTTTCGTTGTTGCAAACTAAAGCCTATTCACATATAATGAAACCCTGAATTTTATTTCAGTTTGCTCCCGTTGGAAATTTTTCAAGAGAACTTAAGTTAGTCTCTGAGACAAGCGCACCTGTATTGCCACTGAAAGGATCAGCAAACAGTGAGCAACAACAAAGAGAGCAATTTTCGTTTGCATGTGATGTGGTGCGAATGTAACATAGTACTGCGTTTAGAGACAGATTGTGGCAAAACTGAAATCATATCAAACTGGTCATCCAGAAAATTGCAAGGGAACAAATGAAAACTAAGAGTAAGAACACGGACTAATCTTAGGAAAAGCGACTTCTGAATGGTTTCAAGGATGGCGCGACTTTTTAAATTGTACTCACAGAACTTAGAGAGCAAAACAAACGCAAACCAAATTTTCTTCGACACTCAACTGAAAATTGCTCTGGAGATTAACATGTACTAATGAGTTTGCACATCCCAGTGCTACGTGGGGTTTCTTATTCAGGATGTTCCTCCGGGCTACATTACGTCTATTAACGCGTGGAAAAGCTTCAGGAGCAAACGTCTCTTCCTTTACCTACGTCGAGCCAATGACGAGGGCTAGTAAGACAGACAACTTCTGAGTCAAGATTTTCAAGAGAACGCTATTGGTTTAAATAAATTTCTTGGGGCATTCCGATTGTAACGACCGCCATGATTGGTCGACGCATTCTATAGGAAAAGACATATGTGAGCTTTTAGCGCATGGTGATCACCAACAGTGGATGGTGAAAGATTTGAATATTTGCTTTGGATGAGCCGAGCTTAAATTGAAATTGCGTTTGAAGAAGTCAAAGACCTTTGCAATCTAAACGAGAAGATAACAACCTTTTGACCAGTTTGAGACCAGGAAATCTCTATAATCCCGAATTATTTTAACTTTAGTACATTTACAGTCACTGACTGCTTTCGAACAGGTGAGGTTTAAAAATGGGTAAGACATGATTTTTAGCTGAAAATACTATATTGCTGCTATCTAACAAGTTTTACTTTAATCCTATTTTAAATTATAGATCGTTTCACTCTTAAACTATATGTCTATATATATTTATATACATATACCAATTCTAAAATTGTAATTTGCCAATTTAAAGCCGAGTAAGTTATTGTCCATTTGACTGAAGATAGCATCCAGTCGCTCGCAGTTTGTGCTTCATCAGTAAAGTGGATCCATGATCTTCAGTTTATGCCAGATGACCATTACTTTACATTCCGGCCCTGTCTATATCCTCAATAAAGCTCCTGTGACAACCTTAAAAAGTTAGAGGCCTTCCTAATAGAATTTTCAAGTCCTCTTCATGCTTTAAATATTCAAGTCAAGCTTATTAAGTTGATAACATCCTTGGGCCTTGTTATAGAAACAGGTGCAAAACACCACAAGATATGAAAATCCTGATCAAAATTCATTCAAAACGATGTCATCAGCCAAAATTAACTTATCCTATTACTACTGTTCACGCAGTTTTCCTGTTGAGTCGGAGTTTTTTTTCTTTTTTTTACCTCAAGCTGATTACAATCAGTGGGAAATGAAAAAGGATACAAGTACATCTGGAAGTTTCCCTTGCAAAATTTAATTAAAACCACACATTCGTGTAAATACGATCAAATCGCAAATATACAAATTCAAAAGTTGTAATTTGATTTAAGGAACCGTCTCTTAATAGAAATCAGGTTTAGAACAACTCATCATGCATAACGGATGTTACGTCGACTTTAGTTGAGCGAGGCGGGAAGTTTGAGGACGATTTTTTGAGGTTAAAATCGTGTTGCTTTCACGGGAAACTGGCTCCGTTTCCAGGGGAAACGGGGTTTCACGTTTAACAATTGGTAACGCACAGCTCTTGAGATTCAGTTGCCATAGGAAACGAGGAAGTTTGGCCTTGATAATATTATTTTACGGTCAAAACCCCGTCACCAAACTTTCTCCGCCCCTCACTCAGCTAGTAATCGTTGTCGTAATCTTTGTCAAGATCCCGTGAATAATGAATTTGAGGTTTTTCGTTTTTTATCTAATATTTCGTTCCAGAAGTGTGTATTCCGGCCTCAAACTGAGAGTCAATAGCAAAATTACGCTTTGTCGATAAGAAAGCGACATCCTGTTTATCCTATCTACATTTATATATATTTTACATCTCTGTGCTAAATATAATGTAGTGAAAGTCTCTTTACGTGAAAATATTGGCTTAACCGGAAGCAGGTAAGTGTATCCGTCATATTCGTTAAAATTGTTGAAACCGAGTTCTCTCGACCTTGAGGGTCCACAATAGACTATTCTAATCCCGAATCTCGACTCCACTATTTATTCTACCCGCCATCTCGCAGCAATGAGCATTTTCCTCCGAGACCACTCCTGGCTAAGACCAATGTGTTCCAGTCCACCGCAAGGTCATGTTTCAACTAGAAGAGAACCTTTCATAGCAATAATGTCAACTCTCAAGTAGAAAAGTAACGACTTGACCAGGTTTCGTAGGGGCAAAAGTTCAGTCAGACGTAAAAACGCTACAAAAGTGTAGTTGACTGACCTGAGTAAACAAAGATACTTGCATTTCTAGTTACTATCAATGTCGAAAAGTTACACTTCCGTCAGCTCAGGTAAGCAACAAAAAATGCGCCGTAATGTAGCCATTTCATTTCTGTGCCTTGTATGCAGCACTAGTGAACATATCTGTCAGCTAAAACAGATGCTGGCGATTTTCAAGAGGCAGCTGATCTCCTACTCCTGGCTCTATTCAAGAAAACGAATCACTTATTTAAACAAACAGAACGGCCAAATCAGAATGTTGCGCCCGTGAAAAAAATCTACTCTATTACTCGAGTAATTTGCTATTTCTCTTAATTGCCATCTTCCTAAGGACTTCACCCGCGTAACTTTCTTTATTATCATCCTTAATTTGCCTTTTTAATAATTAAAAACTTACAACAATATGTTAACAATATAGTTGATAACGTAAACTGGCCACCGTTAAGAGTTTCAAAGCTGAAGTTTCGAGCATCAGCCCTCTGCTCTGACGACGTCAGCTTTGATCTGATATTCTTAACGGTGACCAACTTACGTAATCAGTTAAGTTGATAATACCAAATTACCTTGTGATATACTCTCCCACTGACGCAGAACTGAAGTGCGACTTGGCCAATTCGGTGATTATTTAGGTAAACAGTCTTGCATTTCGTCATAAAGCTATGAAGATTTCTTAATCGCGACTGGAGTCGAATTCGGTCACTTCTTCATCAGCACTGCTTTTCATGCGGTTGCATGTCTCTGTTTGCGGCATTTGTGGTCAACTAAAAGCTGACTTTTTCTCCAACCTCAATTTCCGCTTAATAGTAGGTAATCTGAAGGAGCTCCAGCCCTCACCGCAGGACTCACCGCAGTTGTTTCCTGGCGCATGCGCTCTTTCTAGGTCCTGCGATATAAGAATTTCGCTTCAGTTAGATTTGACGCGGCCGGAGGTGGTGGGATTGATGGAATTTCAAAAAGGCTCAATCATCTCTCGGGGACTGAGTATTACGACCAACAGCTTGAGTGACGATGATCCGATTATGACGTCGAACTTTTTAATATTTCTTCCGTTGTGTCCCCTAAGTCGCACATACATTGGTAAGCTGTGGAGATCAGGCGAACTATTTAATGAAGATATTGTGTATCCAAGGTAATTTAGTTCGGTCTAACCAAAACTTGGTCTCTAACTCAAAACTTGAAATAACTTATTATCCCACATGTTTGACGGAAACCGTATCCGCCCACGAAAACAAAGAATTTCGCCTTCGTTTTCCATCGTTCCATTTTAAATATTTCATAACCCTTTCTCCAACCTGCCAAACCAATGTTGTCACTCCTACTTCCTTGTCAATGTTGATAACGAGAAAATTTGGACTGCCCGAAGAAAACTCAACATTGAGAGGGGAGCGGGTGTTCTTACAAAACGTGACGAGGGTAGTAGTTATTGAACTTATGAGTGAGTTCCTCATGAGACAGTTAGAGTTAGTATATAATGACATAATTGAGAAAGACGTTCTGGTTACGTGAAAAGGTTTCGTAGTAAAACTTAGAGTCAGTTCCTTTTAAACACGAGTTTAACTTGATCGTGATTTTGTATTGGTGTAAGGGTATTGGATGGTAAAGAGAATTTTAAAAGACGTCGTTATGTTAATTCCCTTTGATTTACAGGAAACCACAAAATATAAACATACGAAAAGAGAGAAATTTAGAATTAAAAATGTCAGTTAAGGGCGGAGAAGTTTTTGGAGGATTAGAACCACAAAATTGAAAAAATAGGATACACCCTCACGTAGATCTATTTAAGCATGAAAAGTTGTTTGATAAAGAGGAAGAAAACGCAAATTTTTAGGTAATTAACTCACCTAAAACACGTAAAATATTACAGGCTTATAGCATCCTGCAAGAAATAACTTATCCTTTGCTTAAAAATTTTCAAAGGTAAACGTTTGCCATCTTGAGATGATAAGTTCATCGTCAGTCGTTCATTGCTCCGTAGGAAATTCTGCAAAAAAATTTATAACAAACTGCTTGTATGAGAAAAAAATGTGCATTGTATATTGACCGCATAAACTATAAAAGAACTCTTCAACTTCAGGATTCAAGAGCAATGTCAGTTTTCGTCGAACGTGCTAGTGGTGCACGACGTTTACATATTTTCTGAGCCAAGCTCAGTGCGGATTTTGAATATGTCCGCAGAATGTTAGTAATAGATGCTTAAGGCTACAATATCGCCACCTGTAAAGGTCAATACTAAACGTTTTCATTTCATTAATTAAAGGTTTGTCTCCGCGCCAAAGAGCGATTCTCAGCTACTAACACATCACGCAGAGGAAACATCAGTCTATGTCTTAATTTAGTCTCAAGCACCATAATGAAAAACGGCGAAAACATGGTTTGCTAGGAAATGAAAAAAAAACGCGCAGGTAAGAATGAACTGTAATGGTACAATTACAGCTTGGGGTGGAGAAGGTAAATGTGAATATGTAAATAACAATCTTGAAAAATTGAACGTGACGAAGCTCCTTCAGGATAGCTGCAATATTGTGACTTGTATTTTAAGGCGATCAAGTTGAGACTGACTGACATTTTGATATCTTGTGAGAGTGGTCAAACCGCACTGAGTGTAGGATACCACAAGAAGACAGGGATTGGAATGGATAGAGAGTGTTCTACCTCTGTAGTTTAACATAAGTTAACTGTTTGTGGAAACTTTTCCAATTTTTTTTCCCTGTAAGACGCATTTGACCATACTTACATGATTATAGAAGTTTTAATGATTCTTATCATTATTAATGTTTACACTGATTGCTGATAACGAAATGGAAATAGGAAACTTAGATCTTCCATGATGTAGAAAAAGAGAAGTCGTTTTTTTCAGGTTTAACTTCCCAAATGAATATGAATGAGCAACCTACGTAAACAGATGTTATTTTCACGTAGATTGAAGCTTATTGACATAAACAGAAAAATGACAATGTTCATTGGCAATGTTTTTCCCCATGTACTATCTTGTGATTTGCATCAAGCCCAACCGTAATCTCCTAATCGCTCGAAGAATAATATAGCAAATGATGGTGTACTAAGACAGGAAAATAAAAATTAATTTACTGGTTTTATATTGATGCCATTAAAATTCAGATTGAAAAAAGTAATTACCACGTTGCAACCTTCAGACGTCGTCCAATGACGCATTTAAAAATACGTGTTCGTATACAAAACATTTACTGATAATCCAAGGTAGAGATTGTGCGAAACTGAATATCGGCCGCGATTATCAACCTTACAATGAAAAAACTGCACTTCTCCTAATGAACGAAATTATCTTTCACCTTAATTATGTAAAAGGTTTTGTCTTCCAAGTGAATCGGTTGAAAAAAAAAATGTTTGAATTATTCTCAAACCTGTAACATCGCCTGAGGCTTAGTTTATCGTTCGTGAGCTATTTGGTTAGGATGGTTGAAACTATCACAGCAAGAAGAAGCATATCGGAAAAAACGATCAACATTTTTCAAGGCTTAAGAAGCCAATTTTGAGAGCGTTTGCGAAATAAAATTTCATTTCCTTTCCAAATACTTAATGAGAAAGTGTGATAATAGATTTTAATATCTGCACATCCTCGATATGCTTTAATGTTCGGTCTAACTTGGAAGTTTTATTATTTTTTCTTTTGACAACTCAAGATCACAGGAGATAACCTCAATTAGTATTATAATTTGAAGAAATAAACGAACTCTAACTCATGAAAATCATTTTGCGTGATTAATAAACCGGGAGACTCAAAAACAGTGGACGTAAAGCTAAAATTGTGATTGTTCCCGGTCCACGTCTGAGTAGTGTTTATCCAAATAGCCAATAACAAGCTGCTGGGAGTTGGAGCAGCCATACGTGACCTTATATAGGTGTGAATTCATATATACATGTTGGTTTCTATAAGGTACATTAGTTTAGCGGTGTCTCCTCTTGAAATTGATATTTGTTTAACTCACTGTCAAAGGATTCTGTTACGAGTTGTTCCGAAGTAACATAAGTGTTTTCTTACTTAGATTTGGCTGTAGTGAACCAGCAACCTGAACGAAAAATCAAGGCTGTGAAAAGTGTACTTCGCTAAATCGCACCTTTTGAAAGAGTAATTGACAACAACTGTCCAAAAGCTTGTCGCAGTTGAAAAGGAGCATCTGGATAATTGTGAAAAAAAGAGTTTTGAGCCCTTGAAACAAAGATCACTCGGGAGATTCATAAGAAGGTGAACGCACAAACAACAGACATTGCAGGTATAACCATGGAAGGAACGGCAGCCATGAAAAATGATTCTTTCTCATGTTATCATTTCATCACCATCGACTTTACTTATGCAGATTTCTCGCTTGGCTGGTATATTCTCAGTTGTGTGCTGACTGTGTTATTTGCCCTCACCGCCTCGTTCGCTAACATATTAGTTCTTATTGCCATCCTACGGACTCCTTCGCTTCATTCTCCGTCTAACACGCTTTTATTTGGTTTGGCGCTCGCTGATCTGGGGGTCGGTTTGCTTGTTCATCCTCTGTTCCTTATGCTAATACTTGGGAAAATCACGAAGAACGAAGGCGTTTTCTGCGAAGCAGGAATCGCGATTGAAGTGATTGCTAACGCTCTTTGTATAATTTCTCTTTTAACTGTAACTGCTGTCAGCCTTGATAGATATTTGGCTCTTCGCCTTCATCTCAGATATAAGGAACTCATTACAATCAAGCGTGCAATCGTCGTTTTAATAATCATCTGGATTATCGGGGCACACTCTGGTACACTGTGGCTCTACAAACCTAACCTAGTAAAATGGAATGTTATCGTAATAATTCAACTTTGCCTTATGGCTGCAATAGTTTCTTATTTTCAAATTTATCGCGCTGTCACGCGCGCTATACACTCAGAATTGACCATAAAATGTTCTGTAGATCAAAACTGCGAGGCAATGAACATGGCGAGATTCAAATCGCACACTCTCAGCACCTTTTTGGTCTATTGTTTGATTATGCTGTGTTATTTGCCGTATTTCTGCGTCGTGGTCGTTATAACAGTGACGGGACCATCAGTTCCAAAACGGTTTGCTTATGATATGACTGCAGTGGGGGTTTTCATAAACTCCTCACTCAACCCGCTAGTGTACTGTTGGCGTTTAGGAGATGTTCGTAATGCAGTCAGAAAAACTGCAAAACTGATGGTCCCCGCCAAATTTAGGGGAGAAGAAACAACGATGGCACCTTAGAATTGTACCCACATGAGTGTATTGTTATTTATTCAAGTTGCGCAATGAGAGCGACCTAAGTCAGTTGGAAAGCAGAAAGTGAGAAGCACCAGGCTATAATTTTGTACTATTTTGTGAAGAAGTTGCCAGAGCAATAAAAAAAAATTGACGTCGTTTCAGCGACAAGTTACCTGAGTTTCTCCTTATGTCATGGAAAACAAAAACCACAGCAGAAAATGTGGTAAGTGGGATGCACAAAAATACGCTCGTGTTCCAATTCAGAATTATCTCGAGTCGTTCAAGTTATAGTTATCAATATTAACACACACAGTGGACATATTTCGATTACTTCAAGATCATGTTCCTGATATCTGTACACTCATTTTTATGCCAGAAGAATGTTAGTTAACTGAACACATTGTAGGCAAAGTCTTGCATCAAAGAAAGAGTTTTTTATTATAGAGATAGAATATGTATTATGAGTGCTTAAACATGTAGGGAGGAACAAAGGAGGAGGGGTTTGCCAAAGAGCAGAGAAATCTCATCTGGTTATTCAAAAACAAAAATATTAAACAAAAGAAGAAAAAAAAAGAAACAAGTATATAATAAGAGCATGAGTGATTTTAAAAGTAACCGAGCGCTACTCGTGTCAGGTTTCACCTGTTTCTCATTGGTCGGGAACAGTAACACTTTTATTAATGGTCAATATCCAGGCCGAGATGAAGTGTTAGATGGAACTTAGCCTGCTAAAAGGTAGTATAAAAATTAAAATAGTAATAATAACAATAATAACAATAATAATGATGATGATGATGGTGATGATGGTAATAGTGATAATAGTAGAGTGAAAAAACAGCCGGATGTCACGCGAGAATATCTATTAGTTAACTACGCAGATTCGTAATGAGTCTATGTTTTGTTTACTCTGATATTCAATTTCCCGAGCTTGTTCTGCTCGCACTTGATGCAGCTACATTTCTTTATGAATAACAATGTCCGATAAGTAAAAAAGGTAGTGGTTTAGAAGTGATACTACCATTGTAACAAGATCTAAAAATTCATAATAATTTTCAGAGTTAAAGAAATTATCAAAGGAATTGAAAAACAAGTTTGATTGACGGAGTAAACATGCATTGCTCAATGAAGAAATTAAAACTGAACTGATAAAGAAAATTTCCTTGGAAGCGAGCTTCTTTAGAAGAGAGAGTGAGGAACGTATATGGCATTTCTAGAATAAAAATTATTACTGATGTAAATATATGTAATAAGTAATTTACATTTAAACTCAATAAATCGATATCTTAGCCGCATCATGGCGTGTTCGTGTGTTTTTGCGTTGTTCCTAAATCAGTTCATCCACTCTTATATTTTAAAGACATTTGTAGTTACCTCGTCCTCGCCATTTCATATGCTCTAGGACATTTTAAAACGCTCCAAGACTTGGTTTGCAGAGAAAAAGATGAAATACGCTCCTCTTCAAAAAAAATGGATGCTGAAATCTAAAAGTTGTTTTAATGCAAACTGACTTTCATATTGAAAAAGACCTTGATTGATAAACTGATAGGTAAACTGAAAACTGCGCGCGAATACAATAAAAATTATCCGAAGAACAATGGCAGGGAAAGCATTCTATTTAAAGAATTTTTTAAGGCTGGGAATAGCTGTAGCATACAAACCTGATCAAACAAAGGCCTTTAGTTTTTCAAAATTTAAAATTGCAATCACCCAGCTGAAACGACAAGTGACAAATTGAAATATATTGAGGATTACCATATCAAGGGTTTCCATTTGGAGGTAAGCATAATTTTTTTCGTGCGGTTTAAGATTTCAAAGTAATTTCAATTTTCAATCGCCAGTTCAGAGACAGATCTGTTTATATAAGGTGTAATTTCTCCGCCATACAAGAGCGGATGTCTGCTTCAGATTATTAGACAGGATAATGCGAGTGTGCATATGACTCACTCGAATTTGATTAAGGTTACTTCCCACCTTCGCGGATGTCCTTCGAGAAAAAATTCGTACGCGCGTTAATTTTACTAAAATCCAAGCAAACTATACATCAAAAGAAAGCTTATTAATTGTACTTTATGATGAAAATATGATTTAAGCGACGTTTTAAAAATTGTAATTTTAGCAATTTTTCCTTAAAGGATAAGTCAAGAGCCGGTAAGGCGTGAAACGACGTACCAAGGGTTCTTCTATTGAAGTTATCGTGTATCGGATGCCGCAGCACAAGCTAAATGGCTGCACAGTCCTATTCACAAGGCATCAATCAACAAATTTTGTCGGGCTTTTTCGGCTTTCTGATTGGTTGTCTAGATATCGACATCTAAAGTTGGAGTAGCTAAAAATATGCCAGGCGTGTTGCGTAAATGGACACCACGGACAAATATTTTAAATCAAATTTCAAATCATCCCCACACACTTCGTTTGTAATTATTCCTAGAATGTTTGATGAAAATAGGTTAAATCTATATACCCTATAAATTTGCTAAAAGTGGTTGTATTCCTCCCAAAATCAAATGCGAGATTTTAGCTCATAAAGGTTCGCAAACAACTCGCACCGCGCCAGGAGATTACCTTGCCTCCTGAAACTGCAAACCAATGGGACAACAGTACCTCCTAGCATCAATGATGGATGATCAAGATTTCCCGGGAAAAGTAATCCATCGCAGACACGTTTTTTTTTTTATCTCGATCGCTGAGTGAAGCTTTGAGGAGGATGACACAATAGTGGGCAAAGTTGCCAAAGGAAATATCCGCCGGCAAAAGTGGAAAAACCGGGGAGCGCGCTAAGGAGCAAGAAAAAGGATCAACAGACAGCTTTAAAAATTACGATTTGTAGTAAGGCTGGTACTTGTGTAAGTAAAAGGAAACCGCGTTTTCAAAATTATGTATAGCAAATTTTGGTTTGACGGCGACTCCTTTGTTTGAAATCTGGACGCCAGCGTGGAGCTCCGCCAGCACCAGTCGCTTTCACAAAAGAAATTTTTTCTTTTCCTGACAGAATGTTACTTTTTCTTTCTTCTTTGGGCTTTTTTTTTTTTCTTTTATTTTTTTACCAAGGACTTTCTTCCGCTTTTAATTTTTCCAGGAGCAAAGATTTTTAAATTTCCATGGGCAAAGAGCTTCTACGTGTGAATTTTTTCGAGTGGGGAAGTAAACAAAAAAATTAAAAAACCCCAAGATGAGCGGTTGCCGCAAAATTTCCCCCAGGCAATTCGCTCAGTTATGACACCTTCCTGATTTATTAAATTTATTTGAAAATACGTTTTTCTAAATAACTTGGGTGCTTTTAAAGATTTAAGAAATTTTTTTATGGAAACGTTCGGTCAAAATGTTGGAATTCAGTTTAGTTAGAAAAGAGAAAAATCTGTTTTTTCGGCCTCTGACGGTGGGAAGTAACGTTAAGCTAACCCAAACCCTCATTATTAAATCACCCGCTAGTCTCGGAGAGGAGATTTTTCATGACAGTGAGGCTTACGTTGGTTTTTGTGTAGGTCTTAACTGTTTCAAAAGATCGCTTTTAGATGAGAAAAAAAGAGTGTCACTTTTCTGGTGAAGGAAAGAGGCCTCGTTGCCATGCAGCACATTTAAAATGGCGGCGTCCTTAGCGGAATCTTCGCACCCTGAACATGGTAAGTGCATGTCAAAATTTTATCGAGACTTTTCACTTAAACTGAAAGATGAAAATTTATAGCTTCTGGAGCATAAATTTTATCTCTTGGGTGAACACTTTTTGATTAACCCTTTAATTCCCATGAGTGACCGAGACAGAATTTCTCCTAACAATATCAATAAAATATCAACCAGATAAGTGATGAGAATAAAGAAAAATAGCAATTTGGGGATAATTAGTTGATCCAATACTAGATTCTCTGAACTAACATTATAAGAACTGTATGGTTGACAGCAAGGAGAATAACAAATTTGATCTGGGAGTTAAAGGGTTAAGTATAGAAAAAAATCAGAACCAAAATAATCTCAATGGCCGATCAGAAAAAAAGGCAACTTAACGATTGCAGAATCAAAAACAGAACAGTTCGAAATTCACCCACACAGAATGTGCGTCTATACCGTCCCCCGTTTGCCAACTAAACGACTCGAACAGGCTGTAAAACCTCTTTAGCATTTAAAGCGTTGAGTGCCTCTTTGGTTCTTCACAAACTTAGGCATCGCGTTTTAAGAGGAATTTCTCCTTCGACATGTAAAGTCTTTGTAAAGTAAATTCAATCCTCCCCCTACGTGAGCAGGGGTACTAGTACTGACTCTTAGTCAATGATATTCTAAATGAAACAGAAATTTGTGACCTTCCCGAAGTTCGCACGAAGAGTATTTTCGATACATTTGAACGAAACAGAGGCCAACCCGAGAAGCTTGAGAAAGGAGGAGGACGTCATTGGGGAAAAAAGGGAGTGGGGGAGGGAGAGGGGTACGATGAGGAGGGG